ATTATAGGAAACAGGTGCCTACGACGATCCGAACGAACAGGGCCCATCTTCCTCGAGAAGATATGAACGTAATACGTCGACTAGTGCAGTTCAACGAAGGGGAAGAAGAGTCGATATTGTTGACGTGATGGTTTTCTTACGACGTCTTCAATATGGAAACGTAAGACAGAGACGATCAACCCGCACTGGTACTAATACTAAAGGCCCTAGTAGTAGTCGCAAACAGCCTACTCGCCGCATTACCTTAAACCAACAAATTGTACGAAGCTATCAAAATCGCAGGTACAAGGCACGGAGGAAATACCTTGTTGAAAAAAGACGTAAGGAAGCATTAAATAAGGAGTCGACAGCGTCAGATACTGCAACAACAGCAACAACAGCAACAACTACAGAAACAGAATCAGAAACGATGCAATCAACAGAAACAGAAACAGAAACAGAAGAAACGATAATAACAATGCCAGAAACAGAAGCAGAAGCAATAACACCAATGCCAGAAATAGAAACAGAAGCAATAACACCAATGCCAGAAATAGAAACAGAAGCAATAACACCAATGCCAGAAATAGAAGCAACAACAACAGTGACAGAAACAGAAGAAACAGCAACAATGACAGAAACAGAAGCAACAACAACAATGACGAAAACAAAATTAGCGACATGGAGAATAACTGATGAAGAGTTAGAATATCGAGGGAGAAGAACACCGGTTTTAACTGAAGCGTGGTTGTCACCAAGAGTAACGACACCAAACACCTTTGACGAAGCAGAGCCAGCAGGTTCATCAATGATGGCAGAGATAATGGGAGGGATGACATCTAGCATGAATTTGCAACAAGAACTATGGACGACACCTAGCAGGAATTTGGGACTAGAAGAAGAACTATGGACGACACCTAGCAGGAATTTGGAACTAGAAGAAGAACTATGGACGACACCTAGCAGGAATTTGGAACCAGAAGAAGAACTATGGACGACACCTAGCAGGAATTTGGAATTAGAAGAAGATATATGGACGACACCCATCAGGAATATGGAACTAGAGGAACCAGAGGAAACAACAGAGATGGCAACATTAGCAGATCCATGGTATAGGGAAGATGACGAAGGATCACATTTTGATAATTAAGTTATTTATTATCTTTTTTGCGTGACAATTAAGGATAATTTTACGTAATACACTTATTTCATTTCAAATAATAAGAAAGTGTGAAGAAAGAGATGAGGATACCCAGGCAGTTGATATATTCAAATACATATGTATGAGCAAAAATTTTTACAAAAAAGAACGAATTATTATTGTTGTATAATTTCCAATTAATATTATTGTCATTCCTAATACCGCACTATTGTTGTTTATTATTGCTATCATTGATGACTGTACTTGGAATGACTTTAACTGAATCAAAAAATTTGTAAGTATACATCATTTCATTACGTTTATGTTTCACGTACTTTTTACTATTTGCTGCGCGTAATTTCTCAAAAAATGTTGTATTGTGCTATCATTAAGTATGAAATTTTGATGATCATTATCTGCACAATAAATAAATCAAATAAAAAATTTGAGCAAACAAATTATCATTTACATTTTACGTAAACTATGAGCTATTAGCTCAAAAAGTAAGTAAATTATGAGCTATTAGCTCAAAAAGTAAACAGATTTTATTGCTGCATACTACATGATGCGTAATTATTATAATTATTCATTTCCCTATAAAGGTCTGTTTATTGCCAAATCAAAATAAGTTTTAGAAAACCATTAAATACAGTTTATGTAATCTTAGATCTTACTGCTTACAAAAGCTTCTCTTCCTAAAAGAGTAATTCTTAATTATACAAAGCTTAGGGGATATTTTAAGTGTTGACAAAAAATTGCGGTAGCATTAGCAATAATAAATTTTTAAGATGCTACCATACTTTGCATTTAAAAATTCTTTAATTATGGAATTATGGAAATTATGGAAAGGTTATTTGTTAAATGTGAAATGTCTTCGATGCAAACTTTATATACACACAATATTCGTTTATTCCTTACATTAGTAGTTATAACTTTAATTGATTAATAAATTAATTAATTAATTAGTTAGTAGGTTTGTATTTACGGCAAGACAACATACAGAAGAAAAAAAAAACAAAATATAAAAGGCAAATTGATTGCGTTACATTTACAACACTTTAATTAGTAGTAATAATATGAGAATCGTCTAGAAATAATCAGAAATAGAGTTAAAATTATTGAATAACAAATAATTGATATAAATTTATTAAATTTATATCAATTATTAAATGTTTAATTTTCAATTGATAATTTAGAAGTGCAAAAATCTTTTTTAATTTTTCTCTTCAGAAGGAGTGAAACACACCTATGATCAACTGCAGTTATTGATAGGCATTATAATCACAAATATCCACAAGGCAACGAAATGGAATCCGAAGATTCTTGTGTAGAAGTGAACTGCATCCGATGAATCTGATGTTTCAACCATAACTATCATTAAATATACTTTAGTCAATCCAGACTTGCAATAGAAACAGTTTCATCGGATTTACTTAAAGGCTTAATTTACTGTACCTTTAAGTGAAGTAATCTAAAACTGACTTGAATGCTTTGATGCTGAAAGTCATGTAGTTGTGATTATTAAGTATATTTATTTGCCAAAATCTTTCTTATCTGTGCAATCTTAAACTTAATCAATATGCAGATTCCCAGAAACATAAGACCAGAATTAATAGCATTAAAAAGGCTAAACTTCCTCGCCTTCAGCTACTAAACATTCAAAAACTTCTGCGCGGTATTTATATATTCAGACTTTGATCAACTCATTTATAACACCAAAAATTTCTCCTTCATACAAAATAGGCAGTTCATTTGTACATGGCGTATTGTTCTGTAATTCTTAATGTCATACTTCAACTGTACTTACTAAAAAAATATGTCACCAATGTATGGTTATAGATAAAACTTATGGACATCGACGACTGGAGCAGACCCGAAGTGGTCCAGCTAATTGATCACTATATTCGAGAGCCTAATGTGTCAATAGAGCAACTAAAAAAAGATATCCAACGAATCACGAGAAAAAATGTAACAACTCGTACTTTGCAGCGTCATATGCAAATATTTTTACAGGTTAATTTTGATTATTTTTTGAAGTAAATCAAAATTATTTAAATACCAAAATGTGTAGGATACAAAGTATTTTAGAGGAAGAAATCACAACACTTTACAGCAACATTCTAGAAGGTAAAAGAAGGCCGTGGAATAACGACTAAATTATATCATAGTTGAAGATGAAATAAAACTTTAGAAATGCTTTATATTACTACCTGACTAATACCTAACTCTTATAATCTAATAAGGTGAACAAAGTCTGCTACCATGGCTAGTTTTAGCGTTCAAAATAAAATGTAACCTTTGATTAATCCCTTGGCTAATGTAGCGGTGATCCCTACTCTCGAAACCAATCTTTTCATTTATAAGAGGTAGGCAGTTATTTTCAACCACGAAAGTATGAAATGTTATAGGAATCAGCTGCCTACGAGACGCATTCTAAACAAGACGCAACTTGCCCAGTAGATACTGGCCAGCTGGCTCACCGCATACAAGATTTACGTAATAGAACTCGAAGACCGAGAAAATTAGCCCAAGCTAGTACTGATACTGAAGGTCCAAGTAGTAGACGCAAACAGCCTACTCAGCGAATCAGCTCAATGCAACGAATTGTGCGAAGCTATCGAAGTCGCAGGTACAAGGCACGTAGGAAATACTTTCTTGCAAAAAGATGTAAAGAGGAATTAGAAGACGAGTTATCAGCGACGACAACAACGCCAGATGCTCCAACAAAAACCGAATCTCCTGCGACAACAGCAAGAGTTATAACATCAACAACAGTAACAGAATCAAAAGGGACCATGCCAACCACACCAAAAAAAGCAGAAGAAACAACAGTAATTGTAGAAACAGAAAGGATGACATCGGAAACAACGGAAGAACCACAATGGATAACAACAACATCGATATCCACAACGACAATGACGGAAGCAAAAACATCGATGCTTGCTACAGAAACAATAACAGAGATAACTGAAAAAGCAATGGGACATCATGCGGAAACAACAGTATCAATTCCAGAAGGAGGTGAGTGGTTGGTACCAACAGCGATGACACCATGCACCGTTGCAGAAACAGATTTGGAAACATTGGAAAGAACAATAGACCTATCTTGGATAAGATCGATAACAGAAGGGATGATGGTATCTTGCTTGACTCTGGAACCAGATGATATAACATGGACAAAGCAAGAAACTGCAGAATCAACGAAGTCAGGGATGACAACACCAACAAATCCATGGCGAACGGAAGAGCAAGAGACAACAACAACTAGAGATAAGTAAGTCGTTTATCTTTTTGGCGCACATGTGCAATAATTTGGCTAATAAATTAAGTCGGAATAAAGTAAAAGGGTAGAAAAATGAATAAGTATCTCGAGTACATGTACGAGTAGTCAAATAAAAGAAATTTCAGCGTAAGTAGGAGGGAATCTGAAGTTTTAAGCCTACAATATCCTCAAATCACAGAACATGAAACGCAAGAATCTCACTTGTCAGCAATGAAACAAGCAGAACTCTTACGCAGTTCAAATGCAATATCTTTGCAGGATTTCACTTCCACGGCTGCAAATTTACCACCTACCGTCTCTCAGATATCCCCAATTTCTACCCTACTCAATTCAGAATTCTGTAAACAACCAACCCACATGTCTCCCATAACCTGCACGAATGATCCAAATACCTCCACATTTCCAAAACCGGAAAGTACCTGTCTTTCTAGTTCAAGTAATTATTAACATGCAAATACTCGAATATTCAAAATTCTTTGACAATATTTAACGGACCTGTTTTTTGCCGTTAAAATCAGTTCCTTTAGTTTGCTGTCGTACTGTTCCTCAGTTCATTGCTGTTTTATCTTGTTGATGGTTGGTGTTTCGCTTCGATTATGAATTTGCTGCTGATTAATTGAGAGCGTGTTTTAAAATCTTTCAGAAATTGGTCAAGTAATTCGGATTTTTAGCAACAGATTTTATTAGGATATTTGATTTGAATACTGAAATGGGATGAAAAAACAAGCAATTTTGCCTGTTTTTATCGTGTTGAGTGCTGTACGTAGAATTAGAAGATTCGTTCTCTTCTTTGAGTTCCATCACTTTTTTGATTTTGTAAAAAGTTCAATTAACGAACAAAACGTTTTATTTGTAGTATTTACTACTAGTCAGACTTCTCCTTCTACAGTAGCAATGCAGGCAAATCTTGTGAATCAACAATTCCAATCAATGTTAAACCATCTAGATCACTGTTAGTTTCCATTACCATATCTTTATTGTTGTTACTTATAACATTAATCACTTTTTTAAACTTTGTAGATAGTACGATAATTTGCATACAAAAAGTGCTGCTCATAATTTTGACCTGTATGTATTTATAATATTATAGCATTTAAAGCAACGATTATTGTTAGCAGAATTCAAGGATTCAAGTAGTTCAATGAGTCCAAATTAATCTTCTCTCTACTCAGTTATTATTTTTTCAGGTCTGAATGCATTACGACTACTGCGAAATGAAGTTGTAAGTGTTCATTATCGAATTTGGAAAGGAGATTGGGACGTTCAAATAGAGGGGGAGAAAACAATAGAAGAAAGGCTCGAATTCATTAACCAAATTTATGAGTCGGTTTTTCTCATCTTACCTAAGGGAAATACGAGATATACTATGAGGCGAAGTTTCTATGTGCTGCTTAATCCCATATCTTGTCTGTATAAAATATTTAAGCTCATTTTTACACTCTGATTTACATTTTCCTTAAATAACAATAAGTGTAATTTTCCAAATAAAATACCAATCTAGTTAAAAATGGATCAGTGTGGGCACAAAGAGCACATTTTTAGATTACTAATATCCAAGTTGTATACTACATATTTAGCTCGTTATGTCCTTGTTATCAATTTTTATTTTTGCATATTGCCAAGTATCTGTATTTGCTTTACTCTGAATATAAATTTAAGTAAGCTCTTTTTATATATTTTGTTTTTTTTTAAACATTTTTATAAGCCGAGCAGTCATTTATGCATGAACTTTGTTTTATAGTAGTTTGGAATCTCATGCCAAACAGCTACCCACTTCAACTCCCATGACAGTACAAATGGAACGGCTGAGTCGTTTTCTACATGACGGACAAATTGATCCTTACACTAGAGAATTATATGAAAAATCTCTGGATGCTTCAACATGGATGGACACAACTAATGTTAGTATATGTATATGCATTTTTGTATTGTAAAGAGATTCATGTATATTCATCTCTACGTTGTATGTTTCAGCAACTACTGCAAATGTATGCAGAGTTTTTACGTCCTGTTGTGGGTAATCGAAGACGATCAATAATGACCGAACGCCCTTTAACATTTTCAAGCTATGGATTAAGTTCATCACCGCAGAGTGTTTTTGAACAAACATTAGCATCGGTATTGAAGGATCCAAGTTCTAAAAAAATTGGCCTTGTAGGACGTTATCTGGAAAAGACTGCTCTTTCTGCCATTGTTGAAGTAAGCTTTGGTATTTACCTGTTTAAATGCTTCACTTTAGTTGCATGTTATACATTTATTACGCTGTCGAACATGAATTATTGAGGAGAATTTTTAGATTACAGTGTTTTATTTCTGTTGCAGTTCAAATTTGGTCAAGTAGTCGACAAACAGTATGTTTGTTTGCTGAAAATGCTTATGGTTGTTAACAGTGGTGTGCCGGAATATGTACAAATGATTGCTCCTCATGAGGATTGGTCATACTTGGATATTGGAACTGAGCAGGTAAATGAGTCCTTGTATCTTCTTGTTATAAAATCCTGGCATCCATAAAAAAATAAAAAAAATATTTGTGCATTTTCAATAGACGTGATTGAGAATCAAGATAAAATAATATGTTTGGTTCAATTACCAGTACTTTAAGAAACAAGTTATCACTACTCACATACCATAGGTTGTAATAATGAAATCAATTTTTTTTTTATAATTTTGTCAGCTGAAAAGGTTGGGTATTATTGTTATGTTTTAGGTTGATATTCATAAAGAGAGTCGATATTTGGTTTACCGAAAGATGAGTGTTCAAGCAAATATACATCTAATGCAAACAATAATGCCTTGCATTGATATTCGAAATGCCCATACACTTTCTTATGTCCTCAGCCTGTTTTCTAAATTTTCGGGAGTATTTGAGACAAAATGCCGTGTTTGCAAGTGAGTTTTTTACTCGTTTTTGGAGTTAAGATTTTTTTGAGTTAAGCAAAGAAGTAAAATTTTTCATTCTTTTTTCCATTAAGTAAATTGAAAAGAAGGTTGAAGTTTAATTCATTATAAATAATGAAAGAACATTCATCGTTTCCTATGCTCAGATTGAGTATGAAAATATTTTATTCATTTTACGGACCAGATAGATTATTTCATTTGCTCATTACCTAAATATCATGACTGACCTAAGCATTTTCAGAAAGGTAATGAAGGACTATTTGCCACCTTTAATATTTGATCTTCGATGTCCCAAAAATGCATTGCATGAGTCATGCCGATAACTCGTTATTTTCTGACGCTTCTCAACTATTTCGAGATCTCATTTTTGTTTTGACAGATCTCATTTGATGAAGGAAATTGCAGTATAAGCAATGTCTCTAAAGATATGCAAATTTATTTGAAAGTTATTACCTTGTTTGTTCTTTATTATGTTGATGGCAATGTTAGCTGTTTAAATTTAGCATTTTCCTATTTAGCTAACAAATGAATTGCAGCAATTATTTTTGTTTGAATGTTAGAAAAAGTAAATTTTTGTTCATTACCCATGCTTTTAAGTCACTTTAAAACTAAAATTTCTGCTTCTCCTTACTACACTATTTCTTTTGTATAAGTGCTTATTTTCATGGCAATACTCGTAATATTAAATACATGAGATAGTGACTTACATAATGTGCCATGTGAATGTAAGCCTTAAAAATCACTTTTTGATCCTTGTGTGTAACTTTTTATGAAATTACTTTGTGTTTCTTGTTTGTAACTTGTATTTTTATAATATGAATGAATACATTAATTTTTTCTCATGAACACTACATCGTATTACGACATATCATAGATATTGATATTCACAGTTGGATAGCAGTTTGAATTCACTGATTTACAGTTAAAGATTTACATTTTTGCCTAAGAAAATGAAGCGACTCTTCAATTACTTGCGTGCTACTGTTGCTCATGTAGAAGAAAATTATGTAAAGCATGAGGTTAGTCATTTTCTACTTAGCAGGTTTTTCTCAGTTGCCGTCATTTCGGTGGCTTAAAATGTATTGTGGATGAACATTTTGTTGTCATCAGACTTTTGGAAGTAAGGAGATCTTATTTATAAAATAGTTTCAGAAGGCGGCTGAAATTGAAGGTGCTGAGCATATTATTGTAAATTCATCGGCGTTACATTGTCCAATTTGTCTTTCCGTATTCATCTCTGCACCTTTTATTCTTCGATGTGGTCATTCATTCTGTCAGAAATGTATCAAGAAACTTGTTAAAGAATCATCATCAGAAGATGAACATGGGGTCTCGTTTTTGTCAATTTTGTAAAGAGTTTTCAATTTTTTTAATATTAATTTACTGCAGTTATAAGAATATGAGTATGCTCTTAATCAAAAGTAATATTTTTACCCGTATTTACTGTATTATACATAGTTCTCCTGAAATTCAGTGTAAAATATTTGCACAACATTTTTTTATGATTTCAGTACGAGAGGAATAATAGATAATCAAAAAAAAATTGAGGAAAAAACGTTGTTTTCTACATAGTTATTTTTTAAAAGTCTTAAAATGATTCTTTGCAAGTAGTTGTTCTTGGATTTATTTTACTGAAGTTTCATACACACATTAATCTACCTTTGTTAGAAGCTTGATAGATTTTTTCAGATGATTCTATGTCCTATCTGTCGTCAGGAGATTTCCTGTGAAATCAGTTTTACAAAAAATTATTTGGCTGATGCCTTGCTGCAGTCATTTCAGGATGTAGTTCGGGATAACATCGAACACGTTATGGATTCTAGTCTAATGCTTTCGGTAGTTGTCTTTATTTGACAATATCCTAAATTGATTGTTTTTTAAATATTAAGGTTAATAATTCTTGCAATATTTTACGATTATAAACGTAATCATTTCTTCTTATGAGGCATAAAAGCTTTAATTTTAAATAATTGTTAGTGTATGAATTGTTACGCCGAATTTTTAAGTGATTATTTTTTAATAATATTTTTCAGTATAAAATGATTTCTCAAAAATATTTGGAAGAACAAGAGAAAAGAAATCTTTTTCAAAACATGTATGAAGCTGAAAAAAAACGAAACCATCAGTATCTTACTTTCTTAATCATAAATAGTGCACTGTTGGTATGCGTAACATTTTACTGCAAATTTTTGTTCTAAGTTAATATCATGAATATTTTTCACTTATATTATTCTCTTTCCTTCATTTTTTAGATTATAAATTAAAGTGAAAAGTTAAATTCAGCTAATTTTTCAAATTAATTCTTTTTTAATAACTACAAGTCACAATCTTAACGTGATTTTTTAATGACAGTGTTACGGCAGTTTTTTTTTGCACGAATTCTGTGCCATATTTTTTCTTTATTCATTTGTTGCAAGCAATTATGCTAGCTAATACATATCCTGTGTTTTTGATTTCTATTATGTAAATATACTACATTCCTTAAGTAGATTTTAGTGAACAAATGTGGTTTTAGTTTAGTGAACAAAAATTTCACTTGATAGAATCATGGAACTTTTTAAGTAATCTAGCATCTTGAACCAATTCTTCGCATTTTAATAATTACTTTCTAACTTCGCTGAGTGTATTATAATTTTTTTTACTGCTCTCAAGTTAAAGTTTTGTTTCTTCACGCTACCACGCATTCTTATGGAATATTTATGTAGCTTCAATTTTTGATTATATCTTAAATTGTTTGCTGCACTTAAACCGACAAATGTGCTACTCACTTGCATTGCAGAGATATAATCCAAAAAATTTGTCCAGAAAAAATGTTACTTTGTGGTTAACTTCTGTATATATCTATTATTGTATTGATTTGTAGTATGAAGCTGCTGTGATTTAGTTTTTTATCAGTACTGTTCTAAAGTAGTAAATATAAAACATTTCTTGAATCTCTTCCAAATCATATCCACTTGTCTCTTTCGTCGTTATTATTCTTCAATAACTTTTATGCATTTGTGATCCAGCCGATTCAGTACGCAATAAAACATTTTGTGATTTGAATAATTTAATCTACAGTAATTACTGAAGAATAACGATATGTCATAACTGATTGAGTAACAAAGTAAGCAATTTTTAATTTAGGAATTTAGTGGATAAATTTTTGGGTAATTATTAATAACTGTTGCAGTATTTGTGCTCTTTCACATTAATGCAATTTCAATGCTTGGTGACTATTCCTAAATTTATATTTCTTCAGTTTTCATATATGTCTTCTTAGTTTGATCTACAATCAATGAAATTATGAACTGATATTTTCTGTACTATAGTTTTGGTTACAATCAAGAATATACTCAGGCAAACATTTTTATTCATTTAAAAGCATTGCTTTTTTGATGCATAATTAACGTTAACTTCCAAATTCATTAGCTTTAATTAAATTATGTAGAATACACTATTTTACATAATTTAATTTATTTTATATAATTTAATTTAATAATTTTTTAAATGTGTAAAAGTTTAACAAGCTTAAATACTACATTTTCTTAAAACGACAAGAAAAAGTGAAAAAATAATAATAAAAGTTGAATGTATTGGTAGTACTGAGTGCTTTGTTAATGAACACAATCTGATTATATTTGATATCTAATAGAATGAGTATATTCAGAGTTTAATTACAGTGTAGACTGTAATAAAATAATTAAGTAATTTGTACGTAATGAAGTGATAAATTGAAATGTGACGTGAAAGTACTTTAACTAACAACAAATTTTATCATTAAGTAATAAAAGAGTACTTTTTCTGCATCTTCTCTTCTGCTATGAATTTGATTAATTTTCTTGTTCTTCTGAATCTTAATTGTGTGATAGTTGGCTTGTAAATTTTTTCTTAAAACACAATGGCTGTGGTGGTCTTTTCGATTGCATTACTTGTTCTCGTCTTTCTAATAAGTAAAGTTTTTTTGAGGTAAAGTTAACTTTCAAATTAAAAATAGTTAAAAATATGAATATTAAAAGTAGAGAATTTAATTGAAATAAATATACTAATATTTAATATATTATTTATAAAGTAAAATGTAGTAAAAAATAGTAACGATAAAATTTTAAATTTGCAAAAAATAATTTTTCCATCGATTAGTTAATTGATGACAAATATGTTCTTCGAATAAAGTCGCGAAAATATAATACATTTAATGATAAAGTAAAGAAATGATATTTGTGTTTTTTTATCAGTATTTTTTCATCTAATTAATTTAAGTTTAAGAAATTTTAATAAAGACAAAGAAAATTATAACAACTGAAGGTTGCGAAAAATTTATGCAAATGTCTAATTTAGGTATTGGAAGGCGTGGAATGCTATTAGCAATTGTGGGTTTCCAATAGTTTCCGGTGAAAATTGGTTTTTGGGAAATTTGAATATTACTAAGTCATGTGATACTCATCGGAAACTTATGCAGCTAACCAGGAAATATGGTCCAATATACGGTCTCATGCAAGGATCACATCCAGTTGTTGTTATTTCGGATCCAAAAATAATACATGAAATATGCTTTAAACAGTTTCATATTTTCCATTCACGTATTGTGAGTTTAAAATATTATAGTTGTTTATTTTGGACTAATTATAGTTTTTAGTTTCAAAAATTGAAAATATTATTAATTGAGCTATATTACTTGAATTAAGCTCTAATATTTGTATCAAATATTATCAGATGGATCCAACGGGTTCACATCCGGATATTGCTAATGAAGTCCACCAGTTTGCAGCAAGAGGAGAACGATGGAAGCGAATTCGAAGTTTGACATCAAAGGCCGTTTCAAGCGAAAATCTTCGAAAAGTTTTTCATAGTTTTTTTACTTATAAGAAAATAAGATTTGAAATAACAATACTTATAATTTTAAGTGCAAAGCTAGATCACATCTGAGCTTTAAAAATATTTTTATTTTAGTTTTCTGAGATCATGAAAGATTCTATCGAACGTTTCATACTCGATTTAGAATCAGAAATCATAATTTCCAAAGCTCTAGATCTTCATGCGTATGTATTTCCATTTATTTATTGAAACAGATATCATGATTTATTACTTCAGTGTTTCAATGTAAGCACATATTTTTTGTATCTATTGATAACTTAAATCCAGTTGATATAATCCGCTGAACTTGGTTAACATATGTATATTTTTTCAGGCGATTCCAAAGACTTACTTTTGACGTAATAACACGTTGCTGTATGGGTCGTCCTTACAGTTGTCAACATGATGATCCAAATTTGAAATTACTACTTAACAAATTTAGCCCGTTGCAAACATTTCATGCATCTTTCTTATTTACTTGTAAGGCAAAATCCGTATATAAACTTTTAACTTATTGGGCAGCGACCTTTATTCTCAGAAATATGACAAATTGAAAAATGATAGGAAAATGCAAGCTCAATTTTTACAAATACAAATTACATTACATTTATAAATAATCTGAATTAGCGCTTGATTATTGGTTTATAATTCAAAGAATCTTTAAGGGTGTATACCAGATCTCAAATGGATCGCACTGATATACGAGCAATTATGCGTACGTGTCCAATCTTTTTTGCACATCACCTCCGATCCAATAATAAGTTACACTTCTCATCTCCGCGAAATTATTTCAAGGAATATTTCTGACCAGGTGTTGTTTTCAGGGGTACAGAATTCATTTAATTTTAGTAAGCTTTGAGATTATGTTGTATGATTAGTTTTTCGATGACCCCTTAGTTTTCTTGTATTTTGATTATTGAAAGCGCAAAAAAATGTACACTTCAAGAATTCTCCTTTAATTCAAATACGTAGAACTAAAGTTAGGTTCAACGCATCCATCCAGTTCGTGATAACTATGAATTAAAGTCATTATTTAGGAGTGTAGCAGTTTCTTATATTTTATGAAAAGCGTAGAAGACGAAAAATGGAAAGATTGGATGGTAAATGCTGATGGACCATGTGATCTATCAAAAGTGAAAATTATTTCTAAGTTGACGCGTGGAGTAAGTTTTCTTCCACTTTTGAGTTTATTGTACTATTACTATACTTCTTAGTACTGTTGCTAATTACTGTTTATATAAATATATTTTCCAACACCACTACTATCTTCTTCATGTCTTCTTCTGTGTATTACTGGTGACAAAAACTGCAGTTGTTTTGTGGAATCCCCTTTAAATAATAATAATAACGTTGTTTATTCAATTAATAATTTACTAACAGTTAAGACAATAATTAATAATAAATAATAGCAATAACAGTGATTTTTTGCATGTGATTTCCCATAATGATAATATTATTGATCACACCACTATCATGATTATCCTCCATGCTTTATGCAGTTAACTTTTTGTCCAGTAGAGATTTATCAATTTTTTTGAAACCTTGAAAGTATCATTATTACACGTGGGCTTTTTTGGAGAACTGGCAACTATTAATTTGATCATTGCAAAGCAGAAAAATCTGTAAGCACAAAATATGAGCAAAACGTGGAATCTGCCTCACCAATATTTTTTGTTTAGGAGAAATGAACAAGAGCACTAGCTGCACTGTATTATTTATAGGAAATTGTGAATCAGTGCAGATTTCTAACCTCGGCAGGCTTCGATACCACAGCTAACACTGCAACTTACTTGGTGTATTTACTTGCTCGTTATCCAAAAGAGCAGGAAAAACTGTGGGAAGAAATAAGCATATTAGATGAATTTACATTCGAAAACGTTCGGTATCTAAATTATCTTCATTGTGCAATTATGGAAACCTTACGACTCTTCCCGCACGCTTCGTTGTGAGTCGTATAATCTAATCCCTTGGTTAAAGACCTCAGTAAAATCGAAAATTCTGATGCTCTCTGTTTTCAAAAATGTACCTAATAATCTATTGCTACTCGATTTTCTTTACTTATATCAAAATTAAATTTTACAAATCAGCTTCCACATCTGTCTTGTTAAAAACATTTTCTGCAGGTTACAAACGCGAACTTGTACGCAAAAGTGTAGAATAGGAACATATACATTTAGAGATGGTGTGGGCATTCTTTTTGATACGTGGACCCTACATTATGATTCTAAAATATGGGGAGAAGACGTGCATAAATTTCACCCCGACAGGTTTCTGTGATGATGCATTCTATTAGAAGACTAAGACTGAAGATGCGGAAATTTCAGAAAAACAAAACTTTAAGCTAATATTTAAGGAAATTGTAGATTTTTACACTTAACCGAAGCTCAAAGAAATAGCTGGATGGCTTTCGGAGCTGGACCACGCCAATGTATTGGGATGCGCTTTGCAGTTCTTGAAATTAAATTATTGATATGCCATTTAATGAAGAAATTTCAGTTTCATGAATACCAGAATACAAATAAGGCAAGTTTCAAATCTTTGAAATCAAATTTACTTCCAATTTTTATGAACACTTTACAAAATTAGTGAAGACATAAAAAATATTACAGTGCGATAGCAAATTAAGGAATTATGATACAAATGATAAAATGGCTGCTTTCTACAACGGCTTATACTAGTCAGGCAAATCACTGCCAACTTTTTTGAATTCTTTACACTGAAGGAATGTATTTCTACAAACTACTAAATTATTAAGTGCAAATGAAAATAACAATCTTTACCAATCATCAAATTATTAAATGTGAATGAAGACAGCAAATACAATACACACAATATATGTCAGATAAGTAAAATAAGTGTCATAGTATACAGTTTTTTCTCAAAAGTAGAATAAATGTCATAATATATACAAAACTTTTACTCAACAATTTGAAATGTAATGCTTATATAACAGACCTTCATTACTCCCATTTACTTTTCAGATACACTTAAGTCTTCGAGAAATGGGAACTGTATGGCCAGATTCCACACAAATTATTCTAGAGAAAAGAATCGGTATCGATATCAACAAAATTATTTAACAAAAAGCTAAATTGGAGCAAAGAATAAAATAAATTAAAAATGGTATATAATACATGAGTTTTGGAAATAAGGGTACCATGCGGTTGGAAAGTCAGACAGTCCACAAGCAAATGGTCTTTTCTTTATCAGCACTCAGCAGCATATTTCCTTTGGGATTCCACGAAACAGAATGGACTCCTTGTCTGAAAAGATGAACTAATTTTTTCAGCACAAAGGACTTGATTTCCGAAACTCTAAAACATTCAAAATCGATTGGAATCGTGCAAAACAAATACTATTCTTCAAATGACTCTATTTTCAACTGTCAATTCACACCACTCAACAAGCAATCCCCATATAAATCAGTTGTGTAAAATCTTATAATTGCATTATGAATCCCTCATTTGTTTTAAAGCATATCTCTTTACATCTCAACTACGGCAGTAAAAAACGATACCACTTTACATCTCAACTATGACAGTAAAAAACATGTAAAAGCATTTTAACTTGAAAAAATAGTTGTATGACCAAAACATTATGCGAATTAATATTAGATGCAACTCAAATACAATATCTTAAAATAACTATTAGCTACACTTTTCATCATAGAAATTGAAAGTAAAAATGACTGTGAAATTTTTTTGAAAAGATTACTCATGTCCTCTTTTTTGAATTGTTCTTTCCAGCTTCGTTGTTTTCAGATTCCAAACAAAAATGGATCCATCGCTAGACCCAGATGCAATAAATTCCAGACCAGGGCTGAGAGCGCAACGAATATGATCACTCCCAGTACGATATTGATCGGCACTGCAGCAGATTCAAATCGAAGCTGCTTAGACGTACAAATCTTTGTAGAAGTATAACAACGTCGACATTAGTTATTAATCATGCATTATAGCACAAAAATCTCCTGATTCATTTTTTTTTTTACAAAAAATGGAAAGAGGAATAACATAATTAAAAAAGAAAACCGTATGTTCCTTCCTAAGCTCGTCAAGCCCTCATAATGTTAGAAATCACGGTTAAGTTCCGCAGGTTGTTAAAATCTTACAGTTTTTTGTACAAAAGATAATTTCTTGTAACCACCTGTATATGTGAATAATTTGATAAGAACGCAAATCGATAAGCGACATTGTTTCGTCCCTTGATGATGCAAGTACGACAGTAGAATCTAAACAAAACTGCTATAAATGAACGAAAGTCTGAATGAAATATAATGAAAATACAACTATTTGTTCTTTTGCTGCTTAAAAACTAATAAAAAATATTGCATATGGAGTAGTAACGAACGTTCTCAGTATTTTTCTGCCTCAAAAATCTATACAATCAAAAATTAAATAGCTGAGAAGTGTCAAGATATATAGACTTCTTAATTATGTCAAAAGAGTATTTTCTTACGTCCCGAATTAGGATTGTGGACACGAAAATAATTAACATGTTGAAATCATCGTAGTATCTTTTGCCACATTAAAAACAATGGAATTTTGGTGCAATACATAAAAGTTATTCACCGAACGACAAAGTCAGCGAGCTGACTTTATTGGCAAGTTCGACGATACGAATTGGTTCCTTCAGCCTTGGGTCCCAGAACCGAATTTTACGATCATAATGACCGCTTACAACCATTTTATAATGATCGCTTGAAACGATGTCATATACAACTGAGTTAGTAAAATATGTTCTTGCACCTACAAAAATAACCTTCGGAGACCCCTTAAATCTATATTTTGACTTAACTGAAGAATGAGTTTAACATAAGCTAGAAACTCAGATTTGGTTCAACGTTGTTTGTAAGTTTTTTTCAAATATCTAAATGATAGCTCACAAAGTAAATTAATTGAAAAGTATCAAGCAAAGTAGACGAGAAGAGTTTACATTTCGAAGTTTTTAAGTCCCACATTTTGAAAGTTCGATCATGTGATCCAGACACAACTTGTGAGCCACCAAGGAAGAATTTAGCGGAAGATACTTTGTTTCCATGCCCTGTCAGCGAATGCTAAAAAGGTCAGCAATAAGCAGAAAGTACAGCTATATGAATCTGAAAGAACAAACTCATCGTACTTAAATCAAAACCTGGGCACTTCTTATTTGGAAGACAAACATTTATTATTCAAGATCATGGTAAGATCGACACTTAAGTGGATCATTCCATAAATTATGTCGGACAATTTCGAATAATTGAATACAGTAATACAAACCTTTATTACATGATCATCTGTATCCCAAATACGAACAGCATTATCATTTCCAGCTCCGAGAACTTGATTAGTTTCTCCCGAAAAATCCACACGTAATACTGATTCATTCGAACCAGCCAAAGAAACACTAAGCTATGAAATGAATAAAACAGTAAAACTGCAAAAATTCTCCGTTGAATGATCATAATTAGTGAGATGCTTCTACAATTTCATTTGAAAAATTTGCGTACTTTTTTAAATTTTACAAAAATAAATTCAAACAAATTCTCACATTTTTTCAAAGCGACCTTCAATTACCCAATATAAACGGACTTTATGATCACCGCCACCTGCAGCAAACATTTGTCCATTTGGATGCCACATAATGTCATTAACATCTTCACCATAATTCTGAAAGGGAAATATCATACACAAGTGATAAATCTTATCCTATTTTAGAAAAATGCAAGCAGTGAGAAAAAAAATTTAGGTATAAAACATAGCTTTAATTTTTCTATAAAATAAAAAAATCAAATAACTACCAATTTTGCTTTGCAATTCCCAGGAATAATGTCGCCTATGTAATCTAGGCCCTGATCTGTGTCGCAGATGATTTCGAACCTGAATAGCAAAAGACTTTCATGGGAACTTGAACATTGTCTATGTTGAACTGAAAATCTCTGATAGTGACTGAAACAACGCTAATATTATTCGATAATCAAAATATTGCATAGAATTTTGATTTACTTTCAAGTCACGCACAATCTGCTGGATAACTTCAATTATTTACTGCGTTAGCGTAAATTTTTATCATATTAATTTGATATTGATACTAGTATTGGAACTGTGAATAACTTAAATATACGAATAAAAATTCAAAGCTGCATAATAAAATGGGAATAAGGGAAAATTATTTCTACTCAGTTGACTAACCCATACGTTTTATCCTCATTGCTGTGTGATGCATTCAACGCTGCTTCAAACTCTAATTTTAAACGACGACGACGTTCTCTGAAAGAGAAAATAACTGTTTCCAATTCTACTGAAATGTTAAAAATCATTATGATTAATGAGTTTTATTTCTGAATGTTTTTCCATTTGAAAGTATAATGTGCTTCAGTTAAGAAAAAGAGTATTTATTCGACAGTTGCAAATGGATTCAAAAGACAAAAAGCTTATTGCTTCATAATCAAACACCTTCAGGATATGTAAAACTTGCTACATAAACAGAATGATTTTTCAATTCCGCACGACAAAATTATGAGAATTATAGACATGAGAGCAAATGGAGAAGACTCAAATAAATCAAAAAGTTACTCTTCTTCGCGCTCATTCTGTTCATTGAACCATCGAATTTCTACCTCTTTCAGATTTTTTATTCGATCAATCAGACTATTTCTTTCTTGCTGCGCTTCTCGATATTTGTTTTCTATGCTATTATAACTTGCCTGAAATGAATGCTACTATTTTTGCAAATTTATAAGCAACAAGGAATTACAGTGCTGGAAATGACAATGTCATATATAGTTTTAATTCAAAAGAATTATTTAAATTTTAAAATTCAACAAATTTTTCCCTCAAAAAATAACAGATATTCTATAAAAACCCTGCTGTACCATCTAATAATATACTTGAATAATCTGAACTTTTTCTTATAAATTTCTCAATAACTCGAAACAAACAAACTTGCAAAGCAAAGTGTTCATCTTTCAATAAAATATTTGATTCTTTTAGTGCAGCTAATTCCTCCTCTCTTTCCATCAAATCCTTCTTTAACTTCTGATTTTCCTTCTGACATTCTTCCTTCCTGCAACGTGCTCAGACAAGTCCTGAGAGACCTCCCTTTTATTTTAGCTTTTAAATAAGCTTATGTTTTAAATAAATCATATCAATGCTGATATCGAAATATTACAAAAAACTCTTACACCTTTGTAAATACTTCATAGGACTGGATAAATTCAATTACTAATTGAAACACTTTATTTAAACCAATGCTTTCCTACACAACCATTGCATAATTCCAGATATAAGGCATGAGAAGACATGATTGTAATACTATCTAAGTCTACTAGGATATTCATCTTAAATCTACTTGAACTATCACATGCAACTAAAATGATGTTAAATAAAATAAAAATCGTCTCACACTAAATTGACTGCACATAATTCTTGTGATATAACACCCAATCGGTTATTGGTTTCAATAAGCTGCTGATCATTTTGCTCTTTTTTGCGATATAATTCTGCGAGCTCGACCTCTAACTCCGAAATACGGCTCAAATCCTCATTTTTACTGCTGCTAAAAATGCATTTAGCACCGTAAAAAACCAGATATAATGCTTAGCAACTCTCAATAATAAATGGAAGAAATAGAATGTGCGTTTGTTTACTTCGTCACCACAATTTTTCTTGGAATTTCTCTTGCATCAAAAATGAATAATAAAAACGTACTCAGTATATAAAACTGATTGGAAGATACTATCAAAATCAAACGATTAACGGTATAAAAACATAAAACTTGCATGGAAATGTTCGAACTACAACGTAAACGCCCAGTACGTGCAACATTCGTAATGTAATCTGTGAGTTCACAATCTGTAAATAGTGAATAAGTAGATGATATTTTGATACAGCTCAAGTGTGTCAAAACTCCACAGAATAGATTTGAAGAAAATTGAAAAAGTGCGAAACTACATGAAAATCTTTTCAGTATTCTCAATTACAAATACAGCAGTAAATCAAAAAAGTATAAAACTTCAACAGTAAAATAGAGGTATGCCGAAATATACAGTGATGAATTGAGAATTCTCAGAATAAAATCACAAATTAAACTTACATGAATTAAATAATGATTCGAATTGATTCCATATAAGGTTTCGATGCTCGAGTTGAGACAAAATAATCATACGGAAGTTTTCATCCTTTGTACTTTTTTCATCCATTGGTTATCAATTTCAAGCACTCATAATAACCATCTCGTCTTCTACTTCAAATTTGGCTTCAATCTTTAAAATATTTACGTAATAATTTCTTCACTAATCAATTTAGTTATAATGATAACTTGAAATATAATGCAATAAACATCACTTTACTATATACAAAATGGAATACTATGGGAGAGGATCAAATAATAACAATGAGATCAGCCAATTTCATATCGTTCTCTTATTAGTGAAGGACTTTTTCGTCTCGAAACTTGTTTGCATTAGTGCTGTCGAGATATGAAGAGGTTCAGACAACGATGTAGATTAAAAAAGAGTACGCAAAATTTGGCTTGCAAAACAAAATCTATGAAAAGAATACAGAACAGACTTAAAATTGATTACAATAGAGTACGCAAATAGGCAACGATACTTTTTTAAAAACAATACATGACAGAATATTGGTGAAATTAATAAATAGTAAAGATGTGACAAAAATTATTACCATAGACAAAAATAAAAGAATGAAGAAAAGAGTAAAACAGTTAGTAAAAGAGTATCGGATTAAAGATTAGAAAAATCACGAAATATGTACGTGAATATGAAAGAACAGTAAGAGAGAGTAATGACAAGAAATACCCATTATCAAGGTGAAAATTTTACCTATAATTTGGGTGCAAGAATCGAAGAGAATATTATGCAAATGTTGCGGAATATTGTCTTTCTGTCCAAGTCGATACTAATAGCATTTCTTCTGAAATCGATCACATTTTATTAAGGCAAAAAATTGGACATTTTAATAATTTTAGCTAGTTTTTTTATTGATTTAAAAATTTTTTATTATAATTTTTACAAAAGTAAAAATCAAACATATCTATAAATAAGTCAAAAAACCTAAAGAAATTATTGATAGATAAAGTAAAAGATAAATAATATATTTTTGTAATTTACAGTTTGTTATATAATGGAAGAACATTGTCCAAAATGTGATAGATATAGATCTGGTAACATCGAAAATACCCACGACTACGAAGAGCATCGAGTGATCGGAAAGGGTGCTTATGGGGTGGTTTATTTGGTAACTCACATTCCCAGCAATGTTCAGGTATCTTTTTTTTTTCACCATAATTCCTTGCATATTTATTTGTTACACTTTAAGTTGGGCGCTTCCTCTCAGTTAGTGTAATATTTTGATAATTCTCTAAGCAATATGCAAATGAGTTTTGAGATAGCAAAAAGGAATACTGATTGAAGTTTTGCATTTTTTTTTGCTTTTACACATTTGTAATTTTTATACTTTGCTAGAGCTATATAGCAATTTATAGTTTGCTTCTGTATATTATTACACTATTTATTGTAATGTAAAAATTATCATTTAAATTAGTAATTGGTTTTTATATGAAATATTTTACGCATTTAATTAATTTTCAATTATTTAATTATTTTTTTTCATTCCTTTATTTATTACTTTTGTAAACCGCTCATTAAGCACTAATTTTCTCAAAAATGCTTGTTTGTTTAAATTGAATTGACTTATATGTCCATGTACAATAACGTTTTTTGCATGCAAATTTTGTGAAAAATTTTTTCAGTATGCAAATTTTTATAATTTAGTAAAAGAGACTTGTCAGTTTATATGATCTGACTTCTTTAACCGTCTAATTACTTATATTATTGCAGTATGCGTTGAAAAAGATGGTTGTACGTGTAACAGAAGATGGCATACCTCAAAGTATTATACGTGAGATTTCAGCTTTACGAGCACTGCATTATTTGGACCATCCAAATATAGTCAAGTTTGTTTCCTCTTTGCTACTTTTGCTTCTTTTTTGGTAGTTTAATGTGTATCTCATGAATTTTATTAATACTGCAAAAATTAATTTGTATTTTCTCATATTTTAGGTTTCTTCATAATTTTTGTATCAGTTAACTAGCTTTGGTAAGTATCGTATTACATTATTCCATTTTATATAAATTTTTCAGACTTCAAGACGTCTTTCATGGACAGATTAAAAATGGTGAAATGTGCTTGAGTGTTGTGTATGAGAAATGTGATTGGGATTTGTATGAATTTCTGCGTACCATTCCCCGGGATATGGGTGATCATCAGTGTCGGTTTATTGCAAAACAGGTTAAAATTTTATTATAAATTTAAATGTATTGTTAATCTAAACTATCTGAATGTGCGCATCGAGTTTATAAATGATTCTTAGGTATTGTTATCAAATGTGAATTTCTAACAGAAAATAATACTAATTAAGCTATCAAAAGTTTTTTCATTGCCATCTATCGATTTTTTTAAAATTTTCAATCGTTTATTATTAATCAGTATTAAAATCTGAGTAAACGTGAGTTGCTTATTACTAGTTAATTTTAAGATTTTAATGGGATTGGACTTTCTACATTCAAATCATGTAATACATCGGGATCTAAAACCGCAAAATATATTAATCAATCGTGACCAATCAATAAAAATAGCTGATTTTGGTCTAGCTCGTTATTATTCAATGCAATCATCCTTCACGACGCTGGTGAAATATTTTACGTCTCAGTTTCAAGATCTTATAGTTGTGCAACATGAAAAATTGAAATTATGATTTTTTATAATACTCGGTTTTATTGGTTACTCTTCGAAGACTTTTTATATGAAGTTAGTTTCTTTCTTCTTCGTCATTATTTTTCTTAAAAATATTTATATTGATTTACATTATACAACTTTTGTTAGATTTATATTCATATACATTGTTTTTAATATAATTTGTTTATGAATGCAATACTTTGATGTTGATTCTTGTTATAACTTTTCAATTCATTCATTTTGGGTTGTAACTTTGTGGTATCGAAGTCCGGAACTCTTGCTGCAATGCTCTTATAACTGTAGTGTAGATGTTTGGGCAGCCGGATGTATCATTGCAGAGTTATATTCTCGTCAGCCCCTTTTTCCAGCTCAAACTGAAGTTCAGCAACTCAGTATTATTTTTCAGTATGCGTTTGAACCTTGTTTTTTATTCATTAATATAATTTAGCTATATTTTCAATTATTCATTTTTAGATTCCGTTAGGAATCGACTACAAAAAGTTTGCTAGTTTAGTTGATTCTTTTAACTATTGATGAATATTTAATCAAATATAAAAAATATTATTCTGCTATCGAAGCAGAGGAAAAATTTAACCTAATTTTGGCATTTTTTTTAAAGATCATAAATAATCCCTTCAGGAAACTAGGAACACCTCCTTCTAATGAATGGCCCCAAAATGCGGTTATTGAACGTTCATCTTATCCTTCTTATCCAGGCCAGCCTATGCGGAGGATCGCTCCAAAATTGCCGCTGGATGCATCAAGACTTGTAAAAGTATGTTCATTTGTTAAAAAATCATGTTTTAAGTCATTTGTTTTGTAGGAACTAAGAATTTCTCACTTTTGGAAAGTTTAAATGCAATTTAAAAGGAATTATTACTATGAAACAAATAGTAAATTTGTGTAATATTAAATGATTAGAACTGTTTGTACTGTTCATAAAAATATTTCTTCATGAAATATACACTGATAATAAGAAAGTGTTGTGTGGCGGGAGAGAAGTAAACATACACCTGTGTGAGATCAGAGAAGGTGAGAATTTGAATATTTATATCGACTAAAAATTGACGTGTATGATTTGAAAAATGAATGATAGAAATAAACCTGGAGTAATTTTCTTACCCTTTTTATGCAGTAATTTTTTCCCCTGCAATAGCTTTCATGCTCTGTAATTTGTGAGAAAGAAAAAGAAAAAATTACACACTGTATCATGAAATTATGCAGACTGTCTGTAATTTAATACAAATTGCTGAGTCAAATGATTAACAAAATGCAAAGAATCAAAAAATGGTTTCAGAAAATGTTATCATTTTTGCCAGAATCAAGACCTTCATGTGCAGAAGCACTGCGTGCTGATTACTTTCGTCAGAAACTTGGTCAAATTATATAACCAATCCATAAATTATGTGGTAAATATTTACGTTTTCACTCGTTTTTCGATCTCTCAGTGACATGTTTATCACAAAGTTTTATATATTTATTTCCCAATGTTTTTTCTTTTGCATTTTTTATGATGCCTTATGCTTCCGTACATTTCTTTCTCAGCGTTACTTGTGTCTTTCGAGCTGCAGCCAGTGAATTGCAGTAAAAAAAATGCATATCAAATTTCAGTTTCACAAGTTTGAAAACTACTTTTGATTATAATCACTGGATTGCAATTGTTAATTTTCATATCACTTTGATGCAATGATTAAAGCTTGTTCTGATCATCATCATTTTTTGTACTAACTCGTAGGCTAAATAACCTCAGTGAATATGTGATCGTTTCAATCTTAATGTTTTATGAATTTGCTGCTATTGAAGCAATGTTTTATTGTTTTACTCTGATATTCATTATAATCATAAATATTTTTATGTTTTCATTTTAGAAATATGCAATTTTTTCCATGTCACTTATGATACAGTGTTCATTTATAGGTGTAAAAATTATGCTGAAGAACTTATGTTTGTATATATATATATATTTATTTATTTACATTTATTTTATTTGTATTTGTGTCCATTTCATATTTTGTAATTTTGATAATTAGTTTTTCGAATTGTTATTTTCAAGTTTTTTGTTCTGAAAAATTTTTTGAACGGGTCCAGTTCCTGTTTTAGAATATCATGTGATTATGTGTTAAAAAGAAAACTATGTTCCGCTTCTTTTATTATTTAGAAAACAAAATTTGTAACATGTGACACTGCTAATGTAAGATTAGTACTTGTGAATTATGTCAACTATTCTGTAGCATACTGTTTTTATCAAATTTTTATTTATTATCATAGTATGATCTTTCAACTCTATTTCATGTAATGTTCTTTCAAAAATTGCAGTACCATGTAGAATATCTACTTAATTATTGCCATAGATATTTGTGTCAGCTAATTTTTAGCTCTAGTTTTATATCCGATAAATTTATATTTGTACTTGGCACTGTTCACTTATACTGTTTTATGATGTTTTATATAGTTTTAAATGTTCCAATAAATTAATTTTTGTTCGTTTCAATAATAAAAGTTATTGCTCAACAAAAATTTCATGTTGACGGAAAGAAATTGGGAATTAATTATTCATTCAAATGGAACTTCTAAAAATGAAAGTTTCTTATTCTTATAATATTACAATAATCTTAGTAATGTATTAAGTTCTTTATTCTAATGCTATCTTATAAATGTCACAGTGAATAGTGTGAGATATTAATACAATCATGTATATTTATATTAGGCGATTAGTGTGGGATATTATAATTAGTTTGTGAATTAGCTATTTCCATATAAGCTTATCTTAGTAATTTTGGTGCTATATATTTTCTTTTTTTTCTGGTTCACGCAAAGTTTTTTATTAAGATTACGAGTAACTTCATAGTCTTTTATTTATCTATTTATGTGTTCTTTTCAATAATTTAACAAAGTATTTTGACGTTATTAATTGCTTGATGCGTTTAGTACTACATTTTGCAGTATTTGTAAAGTGGAAAATAGTGAGTAATTATGGAAAGAAAGCGTTATAAAATGACAACATTAGAAAACTTAGCAAGAATCGTACGATAGTGATAATTTCAATTTTATAGTACTATTATTAATCATGTTTTTGTTGTTAAGAATATCCAGAATCTAAATCTATCAATTTTTAAGATGTAGTGACTTCATGCAATACAATTTATGACAACGAGTATACTATTATTATTCTTTAAATTTAGCTTATCATTATTTTTTGTTAGCTATTGTGAACTAATTTTAGTTTCTACCATAGCAAAGACAAAATCTTTGGTTCTTAGTATGATTGCGAATCTGAATTATATTTGAAATATTCAGAGTTATTCAAAGTTTCTTGAAGTCATTTGTTAAATTATTTTTCCACTTAGTATGATTACTTTTTATTTTGATAAAAAGACAAATCTATTCTTATGACCTCTTAAGAATAATTTTTATCTCAAAATGATCCATTTCTTGAAATGAATAATTAATAAAATAAGCTCTCGAATCCTGATTAATAATCAAAAATATTTTCTTACATCATTAATTAAATTTAAAATCGAAAATGAGTCAAGTTTTATTAGTAAAAAAGAAATTGATAATAATATAATGCAATAAGTGTAACCTTGTTGTGCCTAATAATATGCCTAATACAGTATTCTTCTTTAATTTCAAAGTTTAAATTTTGTTATACTTTTTTTTTCTATTTGTAAACAAAAAAAAAGTTTCGCATTATGCCTAGTTTTAAAGTAAGTCAAAGTAAAGAAGACTAAACTTTATGTTCATATAATGACTATGGCACACACAAAAAAAAACTTTTTTGATAAAAAGGCCCGATTTAGGGGGAGCCAAATAAGGCCTAGCAGTGCTCAATACTCCTCTGAGGATTACTTTTCAACACAATGCTTTACTCTTTATGCAATCATTGTATATTGAAGTTGATGAATGACTAAAGTTTTCTTTTACAGAGGCAAAAAAAAGCAAAAGAAAAAAGCTTCATAATATAAAGTCAACGTGTAATAACAAAGTATACGCCTAGAAAAGCTTTATTCTAATGCTTGACAAGTTTGCTTTTACTTAGTCTGAAAAGTAACACAGTGAAGTACTTAGTGCTGTGCTAGATAATTTTGCTTAATTTATAAGTAATGAAGAAAGTAATAACTAAAAGATATTACTTTAACAACAGTACCCAATTACTTTAGTTTACTTTACTAAGTATTTTATCAAATTTTTTAATTATATAATTAAATTATTTAACTGTTTCTTATACGCTTGTAGTGAACATTAGTTAGCTTTGTTATCAAAATGCATACTTACTAAATTTGAATATTGGTTAATAGCAAAAAAGCATTTTAGAAAGTTTGTAGAAAACATTTTTGGTAAAATTTCTTGTCATAATTTTCAAATATTTTAGGGAATGAAAAATTACTCTATTGGATTCTAAGTCATTATGCAAATATAACTATTTAAAGTCTGAAATAATGCGAATAATATTTTTTAGAAAGTTTAAAATTTTTGAAATCATTTTTGAAAATATGAAATTTCCAATGCTACTACTTATAAGTAATTAATTTTTTTAACGTTTAAATGAAGATTCATATTAAAAAAGAAACTTACTCAGAGTTATAAAGTTACAATTCTGTTATGATAGATTGATTCATATAATTTTAAAGTAGATAAATCTATTAACTACAATGGATGAATAAATATGAAGTTGGTAGTTTAAAATTATTTAAAATTTTGCCTCGACTTGTCATAATTTTCAGAACAAAATACATAAATATTTGTCAAAAGTTTTGCATAATAATCTTGCTCATCAAATAATGGTAGAGAGCTTTAGACTGATCCAATAGCTTTAGACTGATCTAATAATTATTCATTAAAAGTTTTGTTATTGCATGCATTAATTAATGGATGCATAAATAATTGTTATTTATTAGACTTTATTTTATCCAAAATAGCTCAATTTACAATTAATAATTCTTTTTCGTTCTTATTTATGCATAACTTTCTGCATTTTTTACAACTTTCTATAATGCTTCACTTACGAATACATAACGAGATTATTATTTATCAGTTGCGATTTATGAATCTTTTGAAGATTTATTCAAACTTATTTGAAGTTAGTTTGATTCTATTTGAAGTCCTTTTAGTATGCTTTGTATGGATTCTCAGAAAATTACCATATGATTGAATCATTTTTATTAATTTATGCAAAAAAAAGGCTTCTTTTGTTGATCTAAGATAAGTTTAATTAGACTTACTTACTTAGTGTTTGCTCATCATCTTTCGCTTTCTATCTGCTAATAATCAATTTAATTCTTAAAGTTATTCTCGAGACTAATCTCAAGGCGTTTTATTATTTCAGCTACTTCCACCAACACTTAACTATAATATTATGTTTTAAACTTTGATAGTGCTTCATCACTGAAATCATTTTGGAAATGCTCATATTTTATTTTATTTTTTTGATTCTCAATTAAATGATGATTTTTTAGTATTGATAGATTATATAGATTTTTTTTTCAGTCTTAATCCAAGTAAAACTTTTATACAGCCTAAGAATAAAGAATCAATTTTAACTATTTATAGTAATAATTAGTACAAGGGATTATAGTTTGCTTCAGATGCATATTTTGTACTCAAAAATAGCTATTCTGATTCCCAATAACATGCTTGACTTCCGCTTTTGACTTAATATCTTTGAGACAATATAAATCTTTTTCGAACACATTACAGAATGATTGCTACAAATATGCAATATGTATAGTTATTAATTAGTTTAATATCAATTTCAAGTTTAATGTTTATGCTTTTACTCAAATATTGTCTGATTTTAGAAGTCTAACTTTATTCAATGTCTTCAAGTCCTTATCCATAATATCCTTTGTAATTTTGCAGTTCTGCTCAACTTTTTGTCTATTATTAATTTGTATTTTTGTTTATTATTAATTTGTATTTTTGTTTATTATTAAATTTTAATTACTATTTTTTAAGTGCGCAAATTACTATTTGCTATGTAACTATTTGACTCACAAAATTGATATACAATTTATTTAACTTAATTAGTGACATATAAAATCATTACCTTTTTCTAATTTACTGTTTCATTTTTAATTCTATCAAATATCATTAGTATTCGCTTATAAACTTTTGAATACGACTTCCATACTTTTATCAATACTTTTTTTTTTTGAACAAGTTCTGTATTAATCTTTATTATAATTTGTTTTAACGATTTATCTTTATTATACTTTTGTATCAATGATTTATCTTTATTTTACTTTTGTATTAATGATTTATCTTTATTATACTTTTGTATTAACAGTATAAGCTTAAATGATAAAATAATGATTACAAAACAAATTATATCCTATTTAATAATTATTTAGTTAATGATTAATCTCATCCATCACTGAAATATTAATGTTTACAAGTAATAATAATGATAAATGTTTAATTTTTTCGATAAAATTTCAAAAAGTTTGTTTGATTATCTGAAACTCCCAAAGGGATAAATATCAATTCAGATAATATTCTAATTACAATCTTATCTTATTAATATATTTTTAAGCCTTATTCGCTAAATTATTCTCTAAAAATTGTTTGTTTTACAGACAAAATATCTGAAATGTTTCATTATTTTGCACTATTTTTTGACTTATATTTGAGTAGACTTTATGCATTATTTGCATATTATTTTTGAATAATTTATATATTTCGATTTTTTTTAATTACTTATATTTTTCGATTAAAAATATTTATATAATTTTAGGAGTATTTTTATTATTATCTTATTTGATTAAATATTTTCAATTCCTTTTAAATTTATGTTTGATTATCATTCAGTCATAATTACATTGTTATGAAAATTTGCATAAGGACTTTTGAACAACAAAAGAAGGCTTGCTAAAAATGACAGAGGCGTTAGATTTGTTGATATATTGAAGATGAAAGCCTTTTGCTTCATATTATTTATGAATTAATAATCGTTGTTAAGTCGTTTTATTAATAACTTACTGGTGAAAAAATTATTGAATTTGATTTCGATTACATTATTTAACGTCAAAATTTTTATGACTTAAAGATTTGCAATAATTCATATGTATGCTTGCGTAAATTATCTCATTTTCATTATGAATATTTAATTATTTTTTACTAATTATGCATTTTTGTTAAAAGTTTGATTATTATAATAAATAATAAATACTTTTATATTTTGCATTATTGAAGTTATTTTTTAGAAATTTGAAATTTAAAACAAAAATTGATAAAGTCTTTTTTCAACTTTTATTAAAGTTTATTTTTGTGCTTAAGCAATTTAAATAGTATATCATCACTGTATAATTAACTGATAGTTCATAACATAAATTTCTTCGAAACTTGGGAAGAAAACTGGAAAAACTGTGTGAATATACTTGAACTTTGAATATTTTTAAATTTTTGCTTTTTTTTTCTAACTAATAATATTATGCTATAATAAGTAATTATGCTTTTAAAAAAATTCATGCAAACATCCAAAGTTTTTTGTACAAAAACTGAAATTAATTATGAATATTTGTTAAATGTTAAAGTTTATTAATTACATAGCAAAATGATAATAATTGATGATGATAATAATTTAATATTCAGAAGCAAAATGATAATAATTTGATAAATTTTCAGAAAATAACCGAATTGAATATTTGTAACTTTCTGCAATTACTTTATTCATTTTGTGCAAATATATTATTAAAAATATGCTAATGTAAAAATACGTTTTATATTGGATGCAATGCCAATGCCATATGATACTTTGCTAGGATCTAGCGATGATATGCAAAGATTTGAAAACCAACTCTACCCACAAAATATTATTCATACATTTGATACCGAGCATTTATGCCAGGCACAGTGTCAGGTTCCTTGCTCTATGAAGCATATTAGCGATTTAATGATGCACCGATGGCTTTGTCCACTTAAGGTATTACTCTTCGCTGACCTTAAACTAACTTTTTCCTTCAAAACGAAAAACTACACATTATTATCATTTTTTAAGTAATGAAAATCAAACAGATAATATCTTTCATTTACTAATAGAAAATTACAGTATGCTTTTATCCCAAAAAAAAAACACTTTTCTATATTTTCTAAAACGTTTTTCCCATATGCATATTTTAATAAATTATCATAATCAATTCTTCGACAATAATTTTCGCGAGTTTCAATGATAAGTTAACTGTAGAAAACGTTTTACAGTAATAAGTTAACTTTTGAGAAAGAAAATAAAAAATGAAGAATTTACTTCTGACGATAAAACATTTATAAAGTTAATGAAAGCTTAATCAGTTAATCCCTCGCCTGACTTAGTCCAATTTAGCTAGCCTTATAACGCAAAAAATGATATTGGAATTGAAAATTTAATACTAAAGTAATAGATTAATTTTTGTTAAAAATGTCAAAGTTCATGCTGAAATTTTAAATTGCACAAGCCAGCAAAAGAGAGTGAAAACAAACCAAATATTTATCTAAATGTGATATTTTTTTTTAAGCTGCAAAATGTAATGAAGTTTACTTTATTAACTACGACAAGGATATAGCAATTATAATTAATGAATCAATTTTAATAAGCTTTCAATTATGGTAATGATATTTTGCAGTGCAGTACATTTATAAATTCCCAAAGCAATAAACTTCAAAAACTTACTTTATGTTATGAATAACCTAAAATATACTATTCAAACTATGAAATTCTTCAATGATCTTAATATATTTTTAAAGCTCAATACACCAAATATAACTTTTGATCAAAAAATTATATTTACATTAAAAGTAAGTTTATTGAATTTTATTTTGATACCATTAATTAGCATAATATATATATATACTTTTTACAGGAGAAAGAAGACTGGAATAATGTTTCCCCCGACGACCGCTTCTTCGCGGGCTTATCTTTGGGTACAGTTATTTGCCTTGCAATTCTCGGTGTCTTCTTATTATTTTGTATTTCATGCCTCATTCGGGTACATTGTTGTAAATGTCATGCGAGTGAAGCATAAAAATTTATACTTTCACTGAATTTTAACACAGTATCAGATTCTACTCAGTAATTATTGCTAAACATTAGCAACATTATAAATTTTTAAATTTATTACCAAAAATTTAAATAAATTTAAAACAAACTATCTTATTACTTATATGATTATATATTTTTGCTTATATCCATTCATATTAAATTACTACATGACGTGTAAGAAATGCAAATTATTTGCAAGCTAAGAATTTGATTTATTCTGCACATTTTTGTTGCCTAACTTAACTATCAGTCATTCGCTAAGTTAACGAACGCATATAACTTTCTTACTTTACTTATTACCAAATAAAATTATGTTATCTGGGGGCAAACTTTATTATTATGCGTATGCCACGTGACCGTTTCTGACTATTTTAACTTTACAAATACAAATAATATATGTTATTTGAGTAATAAATAATAAAGTATTTAAGCGTTTGCTATTCAAATATTTATGTTATCGTTTGATGAAGTGACACTTTATCGCTCTCTCATTTTTAATGATTTTTTTTTACATTTTTAATGACTTTTTTCTTTATAATAATAATAAATTCAAAAATGAATGCATTTACAAATAAATATGTTAGAAAAAGTGTCAATAAAGTGATCGTGGATTACTCTGTCTACATAAAGTAATAATGGAATAATACTAAAAAATAAATAACAAAATGTCACAAACTTTTCAAAAGTTGATAAAAATATGTGATAATTGATTATCAATGATCATTATTTGATCATAAATAAAGTAAGTTATTCATCTTTTTTTTTAAATTTATTTTTATGTTAAAAAAAAATGGCATCAAAATTACAGTTTTTTTTAGATAAGCTAACTTAAAGTATTATTTGTAAAAATTATTTCAATTTTGGATTGCACAGATGTACATGCAATAAAGCAACTTGCATATTGTTTATAATAATTTGCATATTATACAAAAAATTTTGAATTTGTTGATAATCGCAAAATATGCATAATAGAATACCATTTTTAATTCAAAAAAAAAAAAAGAATGTGAAAGTTTTTATTTTGACTAAATATCAGAAGATAATTAATTTGCATAATACTTTTTATCACTTACATAAATTGATCTATTTTTGAAAGACAAAAAAGTAAAATATAAATTAATTTATATCAGAATATTATAACTGCTAAGCAAGACAAATTTTATTCAATTAATTAATATTGCATTCTTACCATTTTTGCTAGCAATGATAAAACATAAAAAGTAGACGCAAAAGTAAGAACATTAAATTTGTTTTCATCTTTATTTGTTGCAACTTTGCAAAGAGTATACTAAAATAAGAAAATATCATTATTTTTGAAATACAAAAGTAAAATTGAGACAGCAAACGTTGCATTTAGGGACCATGACAAATTTTGACACCAGCTAATTGGGAAAGCAAATGAACAAACATTTGACGTATTTATGCTGGAAGCAGGTATATTTGTTGTAATTTTGCAACTGGTTGCTTTGTAACATCCAAAAAGATGGGTTATTTTGATGGAAGAAGGGACAAAAATGGCAAATATTCCAAAATAAGTCAAAAAACGAAATCATATACCGTATTTCAGTTTAACTCAATGAATGGCAGAATTTACTTATTGAAATTCCTGAAATTATTTCGCAGTGTGAAAAATTTATTGAGAAGAATTATTTAATTGAAATTTATTATTGAACTTTGACCTATGGATAATGACCTGCGGCAAATAATATAATTCGAATTATTTTTTTCGGAATTTTCAATAAATGAGCTAAAAGTTGGCAGAATCTAAGAGTATGTATGAATCCGCGCATTAAATTTCTTCATTGCAGGATATTTAGCCTCATTTGACTTCCTGATTTAATTTTTTTTCACATTTCTCTAATTAATTTGATCCAACGGCTGGATAACTTCAGTTTTCAAATAACAAGCTGTAAAGTTATTTTAATTTATCGACACGAATATATTTTATGTTTGATGGAATTTTTGAAGTTTTCATGTCAAGATCACCCGCGATTTCTCATTGGTAAAAGATCCATAAATTTCGTTTTTTGGTGATCTGAGACATACAATTGCATTTTTTTGCCTTATCAGTATTTTTGCCTCTAATTTATTTTACGTTACTGATAATTTGATTAGTAAAGGATCTAATTAGGCATTTATGAAGAATTATTTATGGAAAATCAACATCGTTTCCATTTACGTGATTATTTTATGTACTTATTTAGTAGTTTACCATGACTATGCATTGATTTATTCCCTCATATGTAATTCCTTAAATTTTTTGATCATTACAGGTCATTTATCCTGCAATTATTTGTATGAATTTGTTAGCATTTATTTTGTATATCTTTTCACTATTTTTGTCAAACAATGCTGTAAATGTTGGTTTGGACTTATCAACTGGTCAGACGAATTGGCTGGATCCAAATGATCCGCTTACACCATCAATGTCGTCATTTTGCAATAAAGAAACGCTAGACGAATTGGTAGTTTGTCGAGCTGATCTTGAGAAATGCATAAAAGGTAGCAAAGTTTATAAATTTGTCGTTTTTTGTTATGAATTAAAGCATATGCACGGAGTTTCATATCGTTATTAATTTTCGTGTTTAATGCAATTAGTTTCATTTTTGTTTTCTCAAAAACGTAATTTTTTTTACCATAAAAATACACTCGCTCAAATATTTTGGTTACAGATATATGAAACTTTTATCTCGGTTTCCAATATTTAATAAATCTGGTGGGAATGTATAAAATTTTTCATTATTTGTTATGCTTTAGCTGGTGTTTTTTATCTTTTTCATTTTGAAAGCTAATGCAACTTTATTTTTGCAAATTTTTTTCAGTATCAAAAACTTTGTATGCGTTATTTTTAACTTTTTGCATGAGGTTTATTTTTATAAATTAGCAAATGATGTGAGTCTTAAATTTCAGGTCATGGGGGAAATTATTTAGTATCTGATCCAACGTTGAAGCACATTATTCGAAATTTTTTCCATCGTATGAATGTTGACCTTGATAATGTAAGAAAATATTAATAAATGGAGCATAGAACTTTGTAGTTGTGGTTAAAATCATGTATTATAATTTAATTCGAAGGGTTATGAAACATTTTGACTAGTATGATTGGGTAATTAAAATCTGCGGAAAAAATATTCGGAATCAAATTATGCTCTGAGAGTTTTTCAAAATTATGGAGGAGTTTAGACATTTTCTTTTATTTTTCATAATTTCAGTATTAAAAAAATTGTGAAATTTGACAGGCACAACGCATCGATCGAACTATAGACGTGTATGTTAATTCTGAAAACTTAGCTGTTTTGAAGGATTATTTGAATTCTGAAGGAGAAACAGTAGGGCAAAGGGAACGAATGCGCGAAGTTTTAGAGAAAATAGTTGTTCCAGTAAGGATTTTTAACTTCATCTTTACTTTTTAGTACTTTTCTAGTAAGTTGAAAATATAAAAAAATATTATTTGATAAAAGAAACTTCAAACCAGTAAGATTACCTGAATGATTACTTGCAGCACGCCTATGAAGATAAATTGTTCATCTATTCCATCTTAGATTTAATAGCGAAATTTTTACCATTATTCAATATTTTGATATTAGTGCCAGCAGTTATAATTTTATATCGCAGTTGTTTTTCGCTCTATTCTCTTATTTGGCTCATTCTTCTCGTTGCATTTATTGTATCAGTAATATTCACCTTTCGGATGAAATATCAGGTAAGTACAATATTTAAAAAGTTCGACTAACTTTTTTATTGATTTATAGTTTTCACAGATAACTTTTGTTTATATGTTTTTAAACGTTAATTATTGAAAAAAGACTTTTAGTTTCCCTTAGAGTAGTTTTTAAATTTGTTTTTGACGTGGTTAATCATTGCTGATACAGTCATACTGTTGCTGTATTCAACGATTATGATACTTTTTCAGAAAAATATTGCCAATAGAATGGCACGTGCAACAAAGTCAAGTGCTCAAAGATGCGAATCAGAAAATTTTTTTTACTCTTTAATTCGAAATAGCTTGTCAGGAGTCTTTTTTTTCAAACAGAAAAACGAGTGCTCGCAGTATTTTGAGGTCCAGTTTTAAACCTTATCATAGAGCATCGAATCACTACTTTTAAGTAATTTATTCTGATATGTGTATCTAGCCGAAAACGTTCTGCACTGTATGTTATTTTGCTGATATCGTAAATTAAATATTAAACAAAGGAATGCGGTTAATCTGAATTTATTCCTATAATTTTACTATTGTTCAAGTTGAAAGAGGAAGAAAGAAGAATAGGTGGCAGCGAAACGAACTAAATAAATAAATTTTGAATTCCTAGTTTTGTTTAAAAAGTTTTTGCATGATATTTTTTTAACTCACTTTTAAGTTTTAGGACTTGTATGTTGATGCTTTGTATGAAATTGCACCTTTGGATGTAATTTTCGAGGTTTTTACAAGCTTTATTTTTACGCCACTTGGAGTCTTTGGTCGTCATCTAAATACCTTTTTCTTCGAGTTTTACCACGAAACGCCCTTGCTAATAACTGTTGTCAAAACGCTCACACTTTTTTCCCTCCTTATATTTCTTTTTTTTTGGCTTGGTGGTTATCGATTGCGGACATTGGTTGCAACCGTAGAACCAGCTGGTAAGTTCCTTTTCTCAGAAGCAGCTAACAAATAATTCTTACTAAACTTGCGTAAGAACTAAATAAATTGTTTTTAATCATGGCTTTTTTACTTTTGTTTACTTTTGTAGTGAGCAGATTTACTTCACCACCGATAGAACCATGCCATTGGCAGCAGAATGAACAGTTACACAGATTAAAGACTGCTAACTTGTGCTTTGTCCCTACACGAAGACTGCCTGAGTTAGAATTATCTGGTGGTAAAGTATCGAAATCTCTACGGCGTTCATTAAGTGTGTCTTTTCTGAAGGAATAAAAAGTTACGTCAAAGGATCGGTTATAAGGTAGTTAGTTAGTTCGCCAAGCATGTAAGATCTCATTCACATTATTTACTTTGTTATAATTCGCTATTATATTATAATGAGAAGTTTTTAGAGCATACGATCATTTGCTTATGAATTTTTAATTATCCTTGTTCAAAATGACAAATATAATTTGAATATATTCAATCGTCGGTAATTGCCCTACATCTCTGCTTCTTGGCTGACGAGTTTTTTTCATGATCAGTTATTACCTACTGATTGTATAATTTGTGAAAAAGATATGACATTTTGCATGCTGTCTCTCAATACTTTGCTGTAAGTGTAGCACTGAAATGCAAATTTCAGTTAGAAAGGGCTTCTGTAGTATGAATTTACGTGTTTCATACTTATCGCACTAACTAATTTTTTTCTTCTGAAGCACTAAATTAATAATCATTGCAATGAATTTCATTTGATGATTGCTGCTTTGAAGTACTTTTTGTGAGACAAATATTTTGTATTGTGTATGAATTTACTGTATTGTATATTTAAAACAAAGACAAACTTTTAATTCAGTTTACAGATATATATATTTTCACCTCTCTTTACTGACATGCAGTGACATATAATAAAATTTGAAGCAAAAATAAAAATCAATAAAAGTAACAGAAAAAGAATTAGCGAACAGCTGCTTGAAATTCAATCTTAAGTTGTTGGAATTATTTTGAATGTAATTGTGCCTAAATGTCTTAGTCTTGTTTGCACTGTAGTAAAGTTATATGCACTTTAAAAGTTCTGCAAATAATTAGTGTAGGAAAGTGATTAACAGACTATAGAAATGCTAGCGTTAGACTGATTTTCAGTCTAACATTAGCATCTCTTTTTTATATATCTCATTTACAATTTTACGGTAGATTGATTTTAGAAACAAAATTTTGTTACATAAAGTTATCAATATTCAACTATTGCTTGAAAAAAAATTCTTGAATTGATACCAATAATGATTGGATTCATGTGTTATGCTAAGTCTACTAGTGTGCTATACTCATTTTTAGTCCAAGCTCTTTTTTTTTTTGCTGCAATAGCAAGCTTTTTCGATAATTGTGCGTTCTTTTTCAACTTATCACTACTATGTATTACATATGTGTAAATATATTGAGTTTACTTTACATTTGTCGTATTTATTCATCTATTCCTTCTTCTACACACTAAAGTCTTAGGCTTTTAGGGTAAACTTTTGCTTCGATTTACCCAAATAAAGTAAGCACTTTTATAAGAATGAATGTTTTAGACTGAAAAATAAATTATTTATTGTGTCACATCGAGCCAACATTTATTTTCTTATTTCTTTCTTTAGCTATTTGATTTACTTGACTGAAAAGCTAGCTCATTATCTCTATTTGCAAACATTGAATATGTCAATGCTTACAGATAGTGATGAGTAAATCCGCTCAAAATTAAAACTTTTATTGCATCTGTTCTACTAATGTGATTTTTTGCCTTATGTATTTGTCATATTAGAGGGAAATTTTTATTTTATATATTTATTTGACTGGAATTGACTTTTAACGTTTTTCAGTACGATTATTGGAATAGACATTTCTATGCTACGCTATTTAGAAGATTCATAAAATATTTATTACATTATTATTTGAAGTATTTAATATAATTTGTGTATTTATATGGATAATTTTTTTTATTTTAATAAAGTGTTATTATGACCTTTTTGTTCTTTTAGAAAATAATTATCTGCAAAGATTAGCTCTTCAAAGCAATTAGTGTTAATTAGGGTGCTGTCATGTACAAACATAAAAATAATTTATAAAATGAAATTCTTAGAAGCGTTTTGCTTACATATTCGTCATACATGTTTGGTGACTGTATAATAATACTCAAAAAGCAGGTCAATATGATATCAGTAAATAATGCTTATAAAGTTCAATTTCAAAAACTTACCAAATAGTTCACATAAGGTCAACGCAGTTATCTGTTGATCGTTAATATCCGCGGAAAATACTAGTCAGGACAGTAACTGTTATCATGCAATAATGAAGCTGAGTTCTATGATTTATTGATACCTATGCTGGTAGTTTGATGCATAGAATTTTTGAAACATTCAGTACTCAAGCGTAAAATGGTATTGAAAATGTAACAGACAATTTGCATTTGTATCATGAGAGAATGTATTAGTAACCTTGGTGATTAAGTATAGAATTTGCTGTTGCATTTGCAGTAATAATAAAATGACTGAAGAAGCTGAAGGAAAGCAAAAGTCTTCTTTATTCATCTTGAACTCTTATGATTATCTATTAACGGTTATGATTTGGGTAAACATACTTTTCATTCTTTACGAGTTACGTGTTCAGCTAACTTTGTTAATGACGCAAATGATAAGTTATGTCAAATTTTTTACATGATTGCTCTTACGCTTACTTGAAATTGAAATTTCACAAATAGTTCAAACTGTCATGTTTTCATTTGTATATTTGTTCAAAAATTTGATCTCAATTTTGATACTTATCTTTCCTTGTCAGTATGAATTTATATTTGCTGACTTAAATTGCAATTATAATTAGCAAATATGCAGAGTAACTAGTTAGTATAATAGTTAGAGTAATGTAATTTTACTAAGGTTAACGAAGTGTGTTTGCTTCAATTGAATGGATCAAATTCGGGTACAAACAGAACAACTTCGCATTGAAGCACAAGTTGCCCGGAAGAAAGTATCTGAAGTTTCTAAAGAGTAATCAATCTTTTCTTTTACTCATTTTATTTTCCTGCTTTAATCTTTTTTTTATTTTAGTAAATCAAAAATTATTGCTTAATTATTGTAAACTTTTGATTTTTAATTAGCATTTGTTTAATTTCAGTTTAATAGAATACTGCGAGAAAGAAAAACCTCGTGATATGCTTGTCAGTGGACCTATCGATAATCATAATCCTTTTCAGGAGAAAAAATCCTGTGCTGTACTTTAACTTATCCTAATGAACTTTGCTAATGATTATCAAGTAATGCATACTTTTATTTCCTTACTTTATTACAGCAGAAGTTAGCTAAGAATAACTTTGCTTCAAACTTTTGCTTTTATATATCATTATGAGTGCTATATTTTCATTTATCTGTGCTTAAATGACTTGTAGAGTTTTGTTTTAAATTTTTGCTTATAGCATTGCTGTTAATTTATTTGTAAGTGTACATATTACGTATTTAAATGTGACAACATCAAAATTTGCATATTTATGCAGCTCTAATCGTAATCATAAATATATAATTTCACTTTTAGTGATGTTTAATTGTTAGCATAAATAGTATGCGCATATTTGTTAACTATAAAATTGATAATTTTTAGCGATTTTCCAATCATTCTCAATGTTTACAGTCAAAACAGTATTGATAACTAAATAAATTTGTACAACAGTATGTTATAATTGTGCAAGTGTTTAGGTTTATTGTTAGTAAAGTTTGTTATGAATTTGAAATTGGCTCAGTTTGGTGTATGAAATAGAACAATGATAATAATTTGTCATTATCTCAGTATAGCTCAGCTAGATGTATACTAGCCTCTGTACACTAAAGACATAATTTTATGCAAATTTTAGTTTGATTTGTTTTTATTTATAAAAAGAAGCAAATAATTTTTGTTGCTTCAAATCTGATTTTAAGCGTAGAAATCATTCGCTTAGTTTTTTGTATGTGTATTTATTTGTTCCTTGAAATTAATTTTTGAATAATTTCTGAAAATTATTATGAATATTTAATAAATTAAGATGAATGCTTCATGTAGATAAGTGGATTTTTCATTTTTGCTGATTTATTGTAGTTTAATTTATGTATAGGAAATTTTTGACTTTGAACTAAGCTATTGTCACATGAAACTAAGCTATTTGCATATTACATTTGCACAAAAAAGAAAAAGTATAAATGCCTTAATTTAATCCAAGATTAGAATAGTTTTATTACCTAAACAAGTGGTGGTTTGTGTTTGAGCGTATGACTTTATAAGATCAAAATTCCTTACTGTTATACAAAAATTTAGAATTTGAAAATGACAACAAAGTCTTTGTCTGCTAAAACAAGCAGTGCATATGATATGGATAAAGATGGATTCAAAGTAATATAAATAAATACTTGCTTTAATTTTTTTTTGGAAATTTGTCATTGAATAAGAATACTGAATAAAACTATAACAAAGCGAGAAAATGCCAAAATTGTTTGTTAAATTATCAAACATTTTTTTACTTATTAAAAAAGACTATATTTTTAGTGATTTTATTGCTTATTCAAACAATTTTAATTATTATTTTTTGTATGACTTTTTGAAAGTTTTCTACACACATAAAAAGAAATATTTTATTTTGAAATATATTTCATATAATTTATAGCATAAATTTCAAATGCTAATTAAAATGTATTCGTTTAAATAAGTAATTAAGTAAAAATATGCTTATTATTTGAAATATTTACGCTACACAATTATGTATTCAGAATTGTTTGTATTTTTTTTTTGAGCATTCGTATTATTCATTTTCTATATGACTTTTGAATTATTTGGGAGTAATCATCATTTTTCACAGTTTTTCAAACTTTCACAAAGCTAAGAAAAAATGACGAATATTTGCTTTAAAAACAGTTAAAATTTTTTTGCATATATTATTTTATTCTGAAAGTACTGATTGAAATTTTATGATAATATAGAAATAATTTTTACATTAAATTGTGATTTAGTAGTTAAAATGACTTAAAATATAATTAATAACTTTGAAGAAAGCGCAATACTTTCAAAATCCAAGCTGTAAATTCATACTTAATATCTGTAGAAATTTGATGCTGTAGATTTACAATTCGTAAATTTATCAGCTGTATGGATCACGTGTGTCAAGCGAAACTGAAACTGAATTGAAGCCACCAGTTTCCGTGGATATCAAACATTTGAAAAATAAAACCATTGTTAAAAGCAAAAACTACTCGTATACTTTTTTTTTTGCGTGAATATCAATTTTTTTCAAAATAATCTAAAAAATTAAATATTCAAATATATATTTATAATTGAATTTCTTATCAGTCTTCACCAACTAATTTGCGTAATTTAAATTTTTTTGAAAAATATCAAAAAATTACTTAATGTTTTTAAATTTTAAAATATCAAAAAACTTGATAAGAAAAAATAAAAGTTTGCATTTTAATAAGTAATTAAATAATGGCAAATAATTTGAGATTTGAAATACAAGGACAAATTGCTCAAAATTGCTATAGAGTGCGATGCATTGGTGAAAAAAAGTCAAGTATATATATTATGGAAGTTGAACCTGTGGAACTTCCCACTGATTATAGTCAACTTAAGGTTTATTTATATTTTTGAATTAATTTTTAATTCATAAATACTTTAAATTTACATAATAAAAATTATAAATATATAATGTTTTGTATTATTTCAGCGATATGTCTTTTTTCTTAAGAATTTACAAAAGCAAAACAAAATGAATAAAAGGCATTTTTTAACTTTGAAAGATCGAGGTCGTGTACTTGGATATTATAATTATTTGATTACAACAATGGCTGATATAAATTTGAATGATTTACGTAAGAGTCGCTTAAAGGGACAGTTTAAGTTAATAATTTTTAAATCTTCAAAACTTGTAAATAGATACAGAAACTCATTCAAATTTTGCTTTTTTATTAATTAAAAAATAACTAATAAAAAACAATTTTATAACAATGGTAATAAAATTATTTTAAAGATCAAATTTACTTATTCACAATTACTAGCTTTTATTTTATCGAAAACAGAAATATTCTATTTTTCATATATTTTATCATAATTTTAAACCTTATATTAATAATACTAGGATTATTTTGACAATCAAATTTATTAAGTCATATTTATTTTTATAAAAATATGATTAATTATATGTTATTTGAATAATTTCAATAATTGGTTATTATTTTATGCCGTCAACATCAATGGCGTTATCAGCACAAACATTACAAGCAATACATGATGTGCATTTGAATCATTATATTCACAGAGATATAAGACCAGATAATTTTTTAATTGGATTTCCCCCTAAGAGTAATATCGTTTATATGATTGGATTTTCATTAGCATATAGATATTATCCACCAAGGAAAAATTCAACGGAAAACGACTCTCAATCACAGTATAAAATATTTCTCTTACCATAATTTCAACCATAATAAAAACTAAATAAATTAAGTAAAAGTTTTACTTTATTACGTGAAAAAAATTAAAGAAATAAGCGTTACCAAATTTAATTTGAATAATGCATATTTAATAAAAGCTGATTTGATTAAATAAATCAGTAACATCTGTGAATAAAATTTTCATTTTAAATTCAACAGATTTACAAAACGTCTGTGAATTTGAATTTTTGTAGACTAAACTCGATCTTAATCAAGTATAAAGTAAGCTAGAAATTAAGCTTTACAGAACACCTCGAAAATTAACAAAATGGCAAGGAAGTAATTGCAAATTTCAATCTCGTTCTTATCATTTACATTCAAACATTGCTCGGATTGACGATGTAGAATCTTGGTTTTATATGTGCATAGATTTTTTTGGGCAAACTTTACTTCCTTGGAATGATATTACTTCTGAAAGTGAAATTTTTCTATGCAAACAACGATTATTTTGCGATGGATGTGAAGAAATTTATAATGTTATACCACAAAACTTTCGGGCAATTTTTTGAATATATAATTATTACTTCATTTATTTGTTATTTTTATTATTTTTAATTTTAGCATTTTTTAAAAGTGTTATTTATTAATATCTTTCATTGCTTTCTATTAGCTTAATGTCAATTTAAAATGTTTTTTTGAGCTTTTTAATACTTATACTGTCAAAATTTGATTAAAATGTTTATTTAAAAATTAATATTTTCAAATCGTTCTTATTTTTTGTTATATAAAATTAATATTTTCAAATCGTTTTTAAATTAAATTAATTCTTTGTTGTGATTTTGTTAAATTTAGGCGATTAAAAATGGAATTAATGAAGTGTCGAGATTGGATCCCGTAGATTATACTTTTTTTGCTGATATTTTACTAAGCTGCAAAAATGATATACCATTTAATTTTTATGGTCCATTTGAGTGGGAGGTAATGATGACTGGTTCCACCTTTAGAATTCTGAGCTTTAATAAAGTTTAAGCATAAATAAAAGTATATCATAATTTTAATTTTTAGGTACTTTCAGAGTTCTTTTCAAACTTTGAAAATTTTTTTAAATTCAAATTTATGCATGAATTCAAATATTTTTTGATTATTGCAAGCAAAATAATCGTCGCTTTATGAGATAATTCATTATTAATGTCAAATTTATTATTATTATTATTATTATTATTATTATTATTATTGTCATTTATTTGAAAAATTTAATAATTATGTATATAAAAATAGAAATTTTTGGGTTGAAATGCAAAAGCTTATAAATATTTAAGAGCAATCATTGACTTTTGTCCTATTTCATTGCAATTCTTAATCTTCTGATGATAGTATTTTAATTTCAGGAAGATGTCAATGTCAGTAAAAGGCAAGCTTTTGAAAACTTATCACATTTATTTATCATTCAGCTCGAAAGATCACATTTAAAAATTAAAATTAATAATTTTTTTCTTTAATTTTATCAAAAGCCTCAACGTCAAACGTCTAAATAGTCTTATTTATCGAAGTAATTTTTTTAAATTCATATAGGTAAGGTTTCTGAAGTACTACTTATAATTATTATATTCTTGTAAAAATTTAAGAAAATAAAATTTTTATACTTTCCTTTAAACGCTATTTTTTTATTATTAATAATTGCTTATAAAATTTTTTAAGAAGTAAGTCAGTGGCTATCACCGCGAAAGAAGAAAACTAAAATTACCAAACTTGGAAATTGTACAATTTAAATCACTGACTTTGTCTGCAACTATTTGAATTACTAAAATGTACTGAAATCGATAAAAGTTATTAAAATACTTAAAATTAGTTCAAACTTTTTCAAAATTTGCCTAATAGTAAAAAATAATTGCTTTGAAATCATAAAAAACAAGTCCAAAAATTATTCAAATTGTTTAAATGTTTGAAATTTAAAAGCATATCCTTTTATTACATTCACAAAGAAGAATTCAAAAAATTTTTTGAAATAAATTTGAAAAAAAAACAAAAACTGCTATGAATGTGTATTTTTCCAAATTACTTCAGAGTGGTTTGATAACGCAAATGGCTAAGCATTCGTCTGCATCATTAACTGATAACAGCTTCCATTTATCTGTAGAAGAATAGTCATTCTGAATTCAAATTCTGATGTTTTGAAATTGAGAAAAATTTTAATTTGTTTACTGAATTTGACTTATATGATTATTCAATTCAAATAGGGGAAAACGTCGAATATGACTTACTGTTTTCAACACATACAAAATATCTCGTTTTTGTCAAGTACCGTTCTTCTGATTTAGAAGTTAACAAAATTTTCTGAAAATTTATTAAACAAAAATGACCATTGGTAAATACGGTTTTTTTAATGTTTACTAAATATTAGCATATATATAATTGAATTAAGAACTAATTAACGTCAAAGCATGCAAAAGGCAATTTCAAACAATTGCTCAAAAATTATGCAGAATGAAAATTGTATAATTTGAATAATTTAAAAATGATTATTTAAATCTCCTTATGATAACTTTAACGTTATATCAAGCGTAAATTTAATTATTCCCTCAAAATGCCAGTAAAGCAAAAAATTTTCGAATCAAAAAACCATATTATAGCAATTTGGTGCACAGTTTCTGCCAGAATCAAGGTTGATTAATTGACCATTGACCAACCATCTAGTACCATTTACTCGTTCTACACCAATCCAATAATTATTCAAAGCCTTACCACGTTGAATTTCTAGATGATATCATGTATTTTGACATTTTCAATAAATAAAAACAATTTTTAAACTCAAAATTAAACATTTCAAATATTAAACACTCAAAAATATTACAAAACATTAATTTAAATTATATCAATTTGTGTAGCTATTTATGGGTGATTAGTATGCATAAAAACAATAAATGTAGTATTTTTTATTGATGAATTGCTTATAATTTTTAATTAGTATTATTGTGGGTAGTGAATGCATAATGAATGTTTTGCATATAAATAAAAAATATTAATTTCAATTTTTTCATCAGTTTTATGCATAATTTTTTTCTTATTATTATTTTCTTTTGAAAATGATAATTTTAATAAAGTTTTATTCAAAAAATTTCCCATTGAAAGAAAGAAATATCAACGTTTTTGCTTTCAATGGGACAATTTTTTTAAATATCGTTTTTAGCGAAAACAAATTTAATTTCACGTATGTAATTTATTTCATATTACTATTAAAAGTGTTCAACAAGTTTGTATTACTTCAAGACAAATATTTTTAAGTTTAACATTTCAAGGCAGAATTATTAAATTCAAAAATATTTTTTATATTAATCAGTTAAAAATAATAAAGGCAACCTTTGACCTATGTAACAGAGTGATCAAAATTTTGTGAGAGCAAAGTTTAGAGCAATAGCAAATAAAAATAACTTTGATCACATATTTTATTATTTAATCATTTTTACTTGAAATGAAGATAATTTCAAAAATTCAAACTGTTGAAGCCACAAGTGTTATTTTTATCATTTTTTCTTGCTGTAAAATTATCAAAATACTTTGGATAATATTATTTTGTAATTATTAACGAATACCGTAACTCTTAACAATTTTGCTTCTTTGATAGAATGAGTCGGATACTGTAATGTCAGCCATTGGTAATGGTGCCCACAGCTGACCTTGCGAACAAACTTTCGATAAATGACTTGCACTAACAACTCGTAAACCTAAGTGATTCTGATCTTTTTTTTTTTGAATATAATTATGGTCACTATCACGAACTGATATATTATTAATATACTAAGTGGTTTACTTTACTTTTATATTATTAAATTTTCTTCCCCAAAAACCTTACTTTCATATCTGAAACAATAAAAAGTATCATTTGCATAATTATTTTTTCATGCTCACAAAGAGTAATAATCGTTTTAGCTCTCTACTAATTACTGTATTAATATTATAGAATTGGAAAATTTTTTAAGATTGTTAGAATAGTTTGCAGCTAATTAACAGTAAAACATTTGTTATTGAAAAAAATAAAGTTACTATAACATAAAAATGGAGTTACAGTAAACTTATTCTCATTGTAAATATTTTCAAGTACAGTACCCTCAGGCATTTTTCTGAAGCATATATGACTAACTTGATTTCACGATACATAATGAGTCATCGTATGGAAAATCAGCGTAATTTTCAAGAGGTTCAAAAGTGTCATCTTCAGGACAGCCTGAAAAGATCAAAAATTTGCAAATTTTTTTATGTTTTAGAGTTTTTCACATATCATTTAGAATTGTCTCTCATTATTATTATTTACTTTTCAAAATAATATTTCTAATTAATAGGTTTACTTAATTATTTAAATTAAATTAAATTATAAGTCTATTTTCTATAGTAAATATTCAAGTAAGAGCAATTTACAATGATTTGATACTCAAAATTGCATATTTTCATTTATAAATATCTAAAAAAAAACATCAGTGAATACTTGTGATTGCTTTAGATTGCTCAGTTTTTCATTAATTCCAGGGAATTTTTCAGTAATATTTATAAGATCATTACTGGAAAAAATTATGCAAATGAACTGATTAATCTCTTCGATAATATCCAGGTCAAAGGTTAATTAGTTATCGAAATTTCTTGCACATTTTGGGAATTAACAAGTGATTTTTTAACTATCAATAAGTGCATTTTTGATTTTTATTTGATGATTTAAATATGCATTGTAATAGCAATAATAAACTTGAACTAACTTTATTTTACTGAAGTCATATTTTGATATATCTTAATTTTCTCAATAATAAATAATTATTAATTAATAAAAATCTTACACGCATAATTCCATACACGTTTGTACTGTACCGTTGCTGGACAGCGAGTTTGTAGACTCTCTTTCATGGCAGTAGTTCGAATTGTTTTTAAAATTCTTAGATGATAATATCGGACATATATGGTAACGCCACAACCTTTGTTATCTCCATGACCAAACTTTGTCCATTCAGACCATTGATAATTATTAATTAGAACTTAAATATATATTATAAATTGAATACGAAGTAATTAGACAGTACAAACTACCAAAATTAAACGTAAAAAGTAAAATCATATTTATTCGAATACAAATTTTTAAAATTAAGTTTAATTATTTTGAAGCTATTTTGAAATAGACGAAAAATACTTGGGCAATTTGTATATTTTTCTTCAGTATTATATTGCTCTGAATACGGTATCCATCGAACAACCAAACCAACGCGATCTTCTATCAACTTGTTGATATTATCAACTGTTAAGGTTATTGACTGCTGTAAAAAGGTCAAATAGAATTAATTTCTAAATTGTTGTTAAGTTTAGGTCATATAGACTATATAAAATGTAGTGTTTATTAATAAACTGTTGAAAATGAGTCAGCATGAAAAGTTTGAATTTTTTAAATCTAATTGACTAACTCAGTTGCATTTAATTATTTTTAATGAATGTAAAATGTTTTTGAGACTTTTCATCTGTATAATATATATTGCCAAATTCATACAGATTCTACAGTAAAATGGATATGCTTACCGAGTATGAGAATGGACTGTATTTGGAATAAAATCAAAAATACAAAGTTATACTAATGTAAAATTAAAAATTATTATTAGTAATTACATTGTAATCATTTGTCTTAAATTTGAATAGAGTAAAAGCTGAAGGAAGAAATCCAACAGCTTGTAATAAATGAATGGTATTTAATGCTACGCAAAGTGATGCTATAATCCCTTTGAAAATTATAAACCAGTAATAATCCGACCCAATTAGAATATGTGGCCTACGGAAATGACGTACGTCTATATTTAACTGCTTTTCTTTCGGCTCTAAAAAGGTTAATTAATCCTGAAAGCATAATGAATTCTAAATGGCACTTCTTACTTGGCGTCACAAAAATAAAGAAAATATCATTAAAACATATCACATGTTATGATTTTTTGTTTACTATTAAGAGTGATGGATTTAATTTCTTCCATTAATTATAACTGAAATGCAATAATAACAGTGATAAGAATGAAAATAGCTTAGCTTATCAGTTAACCAGAATTATTAAACTTAAATAATGTAATAAATAACGTGGAAATAAATAACAAAATTAGTTTAAAATAAGGTTTGAAAAAGTTTCAATAACCAAATAAAAAATTACAAAATTTTATCAAAGTTTTTTAAAATGAACATTTTTAAAAAAGGTTTCATTTTCAAAAATATTATTTAATAATATAGCAAATTTTTAAATCAAAGTTGCTATGTTTTATTCAGAAGCATATCTAGATTGCATATTCATGAATATATCTCAGATATTATGAGGAAAACAAGCCTTCTATTGGTTTCCGAAGCAAAATTTGCATTGTTGTTTCCTCCTAAAAAAATTGATCTAAAATTTACAAAAAAGTCGAAGAAATATCTCGATAACATCAGCTGTGTTTGGGAAATGCTTAGGTAAAATAAATCAATAAATGCAGAAATAAAAGTTATTACTTGCATATAATTTAATACTTATCTTACAACTTTGATTTTAAAAATTGTAAATGTACTGAATTTAAGAGTGCACTTATAACTTCTTATGAACCTTATAAAAATTCAGTGATTTTGATTAGATTAATAATGTCCTTTATTGATTTTTATTAATTATCTATATATTATATTTAATTGAATACACTTTCTCTACATTTTTTTCTTAACCTTTTTTCATCTATATTTGTATTAACAATTTTCAAACAAAACTTGCAGTTTCTTTGGTTGGTTCAAAACGATCTATTCCCGTGCTTAACCCTGTTGTAACCAACGACAGATCTGTCATTTAAGTTTTATTCTTTAATTATCCATTCAATTAATTATTTTTTTATTTGCACAATAAAAAATTAATATTTATATATGACCACAAAACACATAGTATAGTATTTTTAATCAGCTCTTAATTAAAAACTAGTTAATTTGCATTCAATATAATTATCGACTCTTTAACTACTTACTTTATTCTAAACAGTACGTAGTAAAGTTAGTTTTATTGACTTAAATAGTAAGTAAACAAAATCATTTGAAAATTGTTAAAAACTCAGCAAGCAATTGCATAAGTACACATGTGCTTTAGTAATATTTGTCAAGAAAAGGTCAAAGTTGAAATCATACCTACTGTTTCTTTTAATGATTTTCCTTCCGTAATCACTGCCTAAAAATCATGCATTTATTTTTGTAAAAAACTAAAAATAAAAATCGAATGAATAGTAGGTAGAACAAATTAATTCAGAATTAAGCTCTTTAAAAATTCATTGAACAAAAAAACTGCTTAATATTTGCTAACATACTGTTTCTGGAAGTGCTTCTGCAACAGTCTGCGCCGATGCTATAAAATTTTGATTTTAAAAATTTGGTTTATGTATTTAAAAATGATTATAGCCATAAAAAAACTTCAATGTTACATTTTAAAGTTAAAGGTTAAAGTTCACAATCATATTGAGTTTGAGTTGTGAATTTTATCAAAGCAAATTAAATCCATACTTTTGTGTTTTTTTCTAATTTTGTACAAAAAATTATCATTTCTTGCGCTGAAAATGCTTACTTACTTCAAAGTAAACCAAAATATTACTTATCTGTTCTTTCTTTTGCTAACATTTTTCAAGTTCATATACCTGCTTTACTGCGTCGTAATAAAGGGAATATATCTCTGATTTTCTGCATCAAAGTAATACCAGTGCCATCATCTTGACTTTTACGTAATTCACGTAATTCACGTAATTCTTCAGCTGTTTGCTCAGCTGTTTGTGAGTGTCTATCTGGTGTGACTTCTGACAACAAAAATAATACGTGAAATCTTCATCTAATTAGAAATTTAGTCATCTAAATAAATTTCTTCTGTAAGACAAATTTACACATATTCAAAGTTTGAAGTGTGCTTTCAAGTATTAAATTCCATGTTGCAAAAATTGTGTAATTAAATTGTCCTAAACAAAAATTGTCCTTATTAGCAATTTTAAATTTTATGAGTGATTTATATTTTGCATGTCATTTGTTGAATAGCTGTGAAAGTAATTTTCTTCATAGTCAAAATTAACGAACTTTATTTAAAATTATTATTTAAGTAAGAATTAATTCAAATTAGCAATACTTTTGATTAAACTAGTTCTTGCAGTATTTAGCAATGTACTCTCCGTACCATCATCATCTACAGATGTAATAGTCTCCCATGGAAACAACTTCTGCTAGAAATCAGTACAAATAAAGTTAAGAGTTACAAAAATAAAACTCGATGGTCTAATTTAATTTTTAAATAATTCTTTTAATTCACTTAATTTAATTTGAATTAGTTTATTTTTGATATTTGATTTTTCCAAGTCATAACAAATTCATAATATGATTAAAGCACAAAAAATTCGTTTTATTACAAAACTTGATTTCAAAAATTGTAATTTATATGCAGTTCAAAAATCTTTCTCGTATAATCTTTAAAGTGAGTATCAGAATATAATTATTTTGTAAAATATTTCAAATTTTAAAACTTCTCAAAATAATATAAGCAAGCATTTATTCACTCCTTACCGACATTTTTCAACGTTTACTTTAAGCTAAGAATTCAGTAAATATTTGGAATAAATATTTAGCTGGAAATAAGATAAATTTAAATATCAATATTTTATTGCAAAAAAATTTGCATATCAGTCACGTTTTGATTAACTAACACTTACGTTTAGATAAAACTAACACCTACGTGAAATTCTAAATGTTATCTTTTGAGATGAAAAAATAGATACTTATGGATTGAATTCAATTAATATTTTGATAAATAAGCGTTAATGATTGAAGCAAATGAAATGCAGGTTTTAAATTAAGTGCTAAGTTGACTGAAAAGACTAAAAGCTTAAATGACAGATATAGTCCTAAACTGCCAACAACATTTCCTAAAGCATAACTAAATGGCATTTATTAATGCAAGAAGCATTGCTGCTTTCGACTTTTAAGCTAGCACAGCTTTGAACTTTTGACAATTCGAATAAATTGAGGTCAAAGGTCATTTATTTGACTTAACTGAAAAGTTACTGCAATAAAAACGCTAAAAAGTTATCATCAGTGAGGAATGAAAATAGTTATCTATAATATTTTAATTATAGCCATAATATTTAGTTATGTATAATATTTAATTATAGTCATGATAGTTAATATCATATTTTATTTTTCAAATCTTAAAAGATAATAACTTTGAAATTAGTAATTTGATTGCAAGAAATTTCTTGTAAAAGAATTAGTATTAGAAAGCTAAAAAATATAGTTTTTAATGAATTATTGCAAAAAAGTTAATATCGAAAGTATTATTCGTTAATTTTTAACTATAAATAAGTGAAAAAAGCTGTATTACGCTTAAGCTTTCTTGTTTTTTTTTGCTTTTTTTATTTTAATATGAAAACATTTGAAAAAATAAAACGTGAACATATTAAAGAAATGTTTGTTTTTTTCATTATTTTGAAAGTTTTAATTTTTGAAAATGAATTTATGCAATTATTTTAATAATTTGACCTAATTAAGCAATTTTATTTTTAGCATAACAAATTTAAATTTAAAAGCATAGCATAGAATATTCAAAATTTTACACAAGTTTAATTTTTGTTTAATATTGAAAAATTATACCATCCCTTTATAAGATGCAATTGTCATAATTATAATAATAACAATGTTGCATGAACATATACTTGGTAGGTATATCATCCAACATCCATTATTCAAAAATTCACCATCGACGACGAATAGATATGAAAAGTGTCATGTGATGCCAAGAGGTCATTTTAGAAATCAATTTTTAATTGCAATTTATACTAGTAAAATTTGATAAAATTTGCATACTGTGATAATTATGCTTTTAGGGTCAAATAAAATTAACTAAAAATATGAAATTATAAAAAATATATTAAAAGCAAAAATTTAATAGGAAAAAATGACTGTTATGTCAGAATACCTAGAAGTATTTTTAGAAAAACAAGTGAATGAATATATTAGAATGTCTTTTACTAATTAATAGCTTTTAGCGATATCGCAACAATTTTTTATGCAGTTATTGTTAAAAATAATTTTTAATTGCAATGATATATTTTAATAATATTTTAGTAATTATACTAATACGTAATGTAAATAACGATTTAATATATAATATCTATATGCTAAATAAAATTCTGAAATAGAAAAAATAATTAAATCTGAAGAAATAACGTAAGAACACTAAATATGACGTTTATAGAAATTAAATCAAGACGTGGACAATTTTTTTCTGAAAAAGATGAGTAAACATTTAAGAAAAGAAAATTAACATGAAACTATTATGTGTTTATACCATTATCTGTCAAAATAATGTAAAGCCGGAAGCGGAAACGTGAACAAGACAAATCTCTGTTAAAAATGGTTGACGTTGAGATGCAAAAGAAGACGTATTACGTGTTGAGTTTAAAATTAGCTTAGAACAATTTGCTGGAAAAATTAATTTTTGGTAATACTTTGTTTAGGTGCATAAAATGCAATTGTGTAAAGGCTGAATTTCACGCAGATGTTGATGAAATTTAATAGTACGTACGTAATATTTGTTGAATGCTTAAATCATTTAATACCGAAAGTAGTAGTAGTAGTAGTAGTAGTGAAGATGAGGATTAACTTAAGTATTACGAAGCAATGAATCAACAAGCATCTAGGAAATGTATTCAAATAGTATTATAAACATAGTCTTTGCAAGTAGATCTATTTAGTATAAAATATTATTACTGAAATACTTATTAACTAAATATTGTAATTAAAAATTTGTAGTAACCAAGAATAAAATATAATGTGAAACACATTTTCATTTTTTATCACTTCAATTAACTGATAAATAGCAATGAAGTAATCAGTGATTAAACAGATAACATCTCAATATTTTTTTTCTTTTTTATTTCAGTGTAAAGAGTTGAAATTAGGTTAGCAAGTATTTGAATTTTTCATTCATAATATTTAAATGCAAAAAACTTTTGATCAAATAAAATTGATTGCTTGATTCATTGGATCAATCTTATATTGCTTGCAGTACAAAACTAGAAACATAAATCTTGCAAGTAAATGCATTTTTGCAGTAATTTAAAGATAACAAATTGAAAAAAAAAATCAGACGAAAGCATTTTAAAAAGCTAATATTTAAAAAAAAAAAGATTACATTTTTAAATTTGAATTTTTGCAAATTAATTGTTTATTAATATTTTTTTTTACAGAAATTCGTGCCAGTTTGTGTGATATTTAATTTTATTGCATTTGATGGCCTCTTGTAAACATTTGATTTGCTGACCCCATAAACAAACGAGCTATATTGGCTGAACTATATTAGTTAGTTAAAATTATAACTTTATTTGCAAATTTGCTTCATTTACAAAATCTTAATATTTAATTAAAATGATTTCCTGTTTAGTGCTGTCAGCACTGAACAAATAATAATTACTGAATTTTTACAAATAATAATTACTGAATTTTTGCGTGAGTGTGTACTTACACATTAGGATAGAATAAGTGTTTGTGTAGTAGATATGTATGTATGTGTGTGTGTGTGTGTGTGTGTGTGTGTGAGTGTGTACGTGTGTATGCGTGAGTGTCAGAGCAATATTTCATGTTAGTCGACTGGAAGTAAGTGAAAGATAGAAGAACTTTTAGAAAAGTAAGGAGTGATAGATGGATATATCTCGCAACCATTGTTACTCGTAATGCGTTAAGGAACAAATTGTACTTTCATCTCACAGTTTACTACTTTCTTTCCCAAAAGTATACAATCTAAACTCTATAATTGTGTACGTGGAATGTTTGCGCAGGCAAATCACTTGAAGAAGTCTATTTGTCAATAATTAATTTAATTGAATATATAGCTGAATTTGTCTATTTGCATTTGTAAGAAGAATAGCAGACTGATTCCCATAAATGAATGAATGAATGAATGAATGAATGAATGAGTGAATGGATGAATGAATGAATGAATAGATGAATGGATGAATGAATGAATGAATGAATTACTACTGCTGAGATGTCTGTCAGATGTTAAAAATAAATAACAGCTTTGCACCACGCTGCCTGTCTAATAGTGTATGTATGAATGTGAATACGGGAATCTATGAATGAATATATTTGTTGATGAATGTATGTATGTGAGTTTACATATGCAGCATGTATGTGTGTGTATTTAAATATATGTTTGTGTGTGTGTGTGTGTGTTTGTGTGTGTATGCGTGTGTGTCACATTTTCATCAGTTCACAAATATGAAATAACATCGATCGGCAAAGATCGTCGTCCGTCCATTTCGTTTGCTTTTTCAATCTTTTAGATTGAAATTGTCAAAAGTAGCAGCAATCATTAATGCTTGTTATGTTTTAATTTTAAAATTATTAATTGATTCGAAATAAAATTGATTTACTGATCAAAGTTTGATTCGAAATAAAATTGATTTACTGATCAAAGTTTGATTCAAAATAAAATTGATTTACTTATCAATGTGATAATTTTTCAATAATTTGATTACGAAAATATACTGCTATTACTAAATTTGCTTTTATCAAATATTATTCATTCTTAGCATAGAATTAATTATTTTTATACTAAATTTGCTTGCAAAAAAATTTGAAAACAATAAATATTTCTTTTTTTTCGTACTATCTCCTATTTTATTGGATAAAATTCTATTCTATTCTATTCTGTTCTATTCTATTCTATTCATTCACTGTTTTTAATCATTTAATAATCAATTCATTTTTCTTCAACTGACTGCACTAATCATCATCTAGCAGTAAATTACTTTCAACTTACCTTACTTGACTTTAGCCTACAACTTTATCATATTGCTAATTTAAGCTAATTGATTTTAGTCTAGTATTGATTGTTTCAAGTACTCTCTTTCAATTATTATCATTATTATTATTATTATTATTATTATTGTTATTATTATTGTTTTTTTTTTTTAAGAAAACCAAATAATATTATTGGAGATAAAATTATTTGAAGATAAGGTATGCTTCAAATATTTATGATTGCAGTATTGCTTATCTTCTGATGGATTATTTCTGCTTTCTCGTCAAGGCATTATTTTTTGATCAAAGCGAAGTTATATTTATTTGAAAAAAGTTTCGTTTTCTGATGCTAAATATTTACTTGTAAGTTGGACTGAAATAGAAAGAATAAGCGCAAAGTAGATAGAATAACTTTTTAAGGGTGTGTGGATTGTTGTAGTCTTAAATGCCTGCTTCTTCAGGCTTTACACCGCATTGAGGCCCTACTAAATGGCCTTTTTGTTTGCACAACTACTGTTATTAGTCTCTTAGTGCTGTTTCTACTGCTGCTATACTTGTATTATTATATATAATAATGTTATTATTACTATTGTTATTATTATTATTATTATTAGTAGTAGTAATTGTAATAAAATTAACTATTAGTATTGTCAGTAATATTAGCGCTATTATTAAGGTTTATTATTATTATCATTATTATTGTTGTTATTATTATTATTATTATTATCATTAGTTGTAGTAGTAGTAATTGTAATAAAATTAATGCCAGTAACATTAGCGCTATCATTAAGATTAAAATCGTAATTATGTTTTCATTTTTATTATTAAAGAAATGTATTACTGAAGTGATCAGTTTTCTAATTAATAAATAGTATATTCTTTTTTCTTCACAAATTAATGCAATTAAATGTGAGTTACAATAGTTTTAATTTTCTTACTAAAGTTTGCTATGACAGATATTCGTCAAAAAATTAAAAAATTGACGTGAAGAAGAAAAATAGCAGCCTGCTTTTGCTTCACTTCTAATTAAAGTAAAAATAAATTTGCACAACTTTTTGTGTTGTCAAATTTTCTAATACCTCTCATAACATCATCACTCATAATTATTTTCAATAAATTAAAGAGTGAAACTGAAGAAAAGTCTGATTCTAAAAGGTATTTTCAAGAAGGCAAATTAGTCTGTCTGACATTAAGGTTTTATTTTTCTTCGAAAATTTATTGCTCATTTGATAGCTAAATTATTTCTCTATTTTTAATTAAAAAAAATTTATCAAGAAATTTTCAAATTTTTGCTTATTATATTTTGATTTGGACAAATTATTCATACACTAATGCATACTTAAATACTTGAATATTAATCAAAATTTAAAATTTTGTTTACTTGCAATCTATTATAAATGTGGCTGAAATTAGGAAAATTGAACATTTTTAGTGCTAGTAATATCATATCAGCGTTGTAATGAAATGTCTGCTTTATTCAGTATATTTAATATGCTTGTGTTTGGGTGATTTAGTTTAAGATATCAGTTTCATAGTTAGTATTAATAATCACTATTACATTGTGAAGTATGGTAAGAGATAGTTCTTTGCTAAAAACTGATTATCAGTAATCAATGCCAAGCAGGACAAATCATCGTTATGAGTCATCTCGCAAACAATTTACCGAATTTAATTTTTTGATAAATTGCTCCAAGTATATATATATATATATAAATCATACAAATCATATGAAAAATTTATAAGGATAAACAAAAATATGAAAGCTAATGTCATTTGTGTTTAGCCTTCTAAATTAGGTAATGTTTTTTGATGGTTTGGCATGGAGATGTTTTCATATTGTTATTAGTTATCATATGATAAGCAACTAAATGTGATTATTCATTCAGTTCCGTGCAGCTAAACTAAGTAAATATGTTTTGTTTTGTTTTTTTACTTAAAATACAAATTGTCATTATAATTATAAATTGATCAGTAATTGTAACTGCTTAATGGTTTCAAGCTATTAAGATCACTGAATCATGTGATCAGATTAATATCATATAGTTTACTTTTACTGCTGCTTTCATTGATAAAATTGCAATGAAAGATAAAATAGTTAGCATATTATATATATTTTATCATATCTTTATTAATATGTTTAATTTTTGGCTTTACAGTAAAAAATATATTATTTATTCAAGAAAGTGTCATATTTGCATTTTCATTTTTATTATCAGTTTTGTAATAAACTTTATTTTGTGCAAATATTTCACGATAAAAAGTAGATGAATAAAAGTTATCTGAGATGAAGTAGGTATTTAGCATACGCTTAGTACCACGTGAAATATTTTCAAGTGAAAATAACCCGTGAATTAGTTCTTGGGCAAGCAAAATAATTTTTACTTTTCCTTCTACACAAATCATGCGGTTAGATGCATTTGCTTTGATTCATTCTCGACAGTTGTTTGTCAAGTGAGTTGCTCTGAACTTTGGCCATATCTCTTTATATTTTAATACTTTCTAATAATTTTTATTACAATAATAATAATTTTACATATTGTATTTATTATTTTTTCATGAATTACTGTGATTACAGTAATTCTCTTTTGCATCAGAAATTTATCGTTTCTTAAAATTATCAAAAAGTAAATAATTTTAAATTCTTTACTTAAAAAACAATATAACTAATTGCTTAGTCTTTATTTTGATAATTTAAAAAAGAATTATTAAATAATAATTAAATGATTCGTTTTTTAAATTTAGCATCAAATTAAATGTAACTGTATGAAAGTTTTTTCATGAAATTAGCACAATTTTTAGAGTAGAAAATTAAGCACTGTATGTGTAATGAGTTACTTTGCAATTCATACTTGAAAAATGTTAAATTTTGATGGCTGAACTGATTTCTAATTTCTGTAATTAATTTATTAAGAATTCTAGAGAAGAAATAAAATGCTTACTACTCGTAACAAATTTTGTTTTCAAGGTAGTTATGTGCAAATGAACAAGTTTGAGAATGATAAATTTCTGTTTTTGGTGTCATTTGAGGTCACTTAAAACTATTGTAATAAATTTTTTGCATACAGTAAAAGTCAAGATTTATTGTGTTTTGTTGCACCAAAGAAAAAAATTTACTTTTCATATTTTGTTGAAAAACAAAGCGTGATAAATAAAGACCACGCAAAATTACGTCATATTATTAGTATAGAACTGAAATTAAGGAAATAGAAATTCTTCTGAAATTCTTAGGAAAAACGCTTTCACTGAAACACATTAGTAACGTACCACAATAAAAGTATGAGTAAGAGACGCAGTTTGTTTCACAGTGCTTTCATTGAAATATGTCATGGTTTGGGTGATAGTTTTAGCTAAAAACTTAGGAAGCTAAGACGTTTCATCGCTGACGTAAAGTGTTATTAAAATTTGCTGACTTAGAAATCGTTTTACACGTACATCTCGCAAAATCGATACAGTCGTAACGTCATTTAGTAAATAATCACATTTAAGGTATATGGACTCAGTGCTTACCATTGTCAAATGTCATAAGTCATTCAGTTCAATCCTTAATAGTGTGTCAGGTTACTCCATATTTGCATACTGTATTTGAACACTTGATAGAAACTTTTTTTTTATAACTTTAGTTCAACTTGCAGGAAATTTAGTAGTTTGAAAGATCGTATTACCTACCGAGATCGTTTCAAGGATGGGATCGAATTATTGCGTTTTATATTTTTGTAATTCAAAGATATTTCGATTTAAGCGATCCGAGAAATTCGTATGAACACTAGAAAGTTCAAGCAATTATCAGTTTACATGAAAAGTTGCGATGGATTATTTATTACGTAGGTTGAAAATATTGTTTTTATTAACGACTTTCATCTGTTCAAACGAAAAAATAAAATCATACAGCTTTTGTGCTGTGAAAATTTTAATGTCATTTCAAGTTAAGTTGTCATATTTAACTTAATTCTAATGATATCAAATTGGGTATGATAAAATATTGTGTTACAATGATGTTGACATTTATTAACTTATTTTATATTTTTGGAATTTTACTTGCTGTACATTATTTGAGCATATCGGTAAATCATCGTGGAGTTTTCATTCTACCTGTAAAACAAATATATTTCTCTGGAAGTATATGATCGATAAGAAAGTTTAGTAATAACAACTTAATTTTTTAAAAGTTTATTCGATAGATTAAGTGTTACTATAAAGATTTCCAGAGTAATCGATTGTGATAAGTAGATATTTGCAGAATTTTAGTGGTGAGAAAAAATGAACTTTAGTATGACGTGCCAGTTATTTCGTACGTTTGTTCATCGATGCGTAAAATGAAATTTTTTTTAAAAAATGTTTTTGTTATTTAAGGAAGAAAATAGTAAGAAGCATAAGGTGGATTCCTGGATAGGAAGCACGGTGGCGCTTAGAAAGGGGTACTTAGGTACTCTCGAGCAGCCGAGTAAAGCGGGCTACTGCGTTCCTGTGCAGATTCATGCTGCAGTTTCATCTGTAGTGTTGCTTTCGCCTTTAGCAGGTACTGCTTGTAAGAATGGGATCTTTGAGCAGTGGCCGCAGCAGCACTTCAAGTATGAGCAGTTCGGGAACCGACCTCAGTTCTTGCAGCATTGTATGTTTTCTTCATTATTCCATATCGTATCTATTACTAGTTTTAAATAGTTCTCTGAACAAATATTAATGAGTTTTGGTGACTTAATTAGAATTCAAACTATCACTGTAGTAAAATATAAAGTACATGTTAGTAATTGCTACGTATTGCTTGTACTGTTTTTAATTTTGAGTTTTTTTTTCAAAGTTTAGTAGAATCTAAATTTAAAAATTCATTTCCATAGCTAATTTTGCATGTTGAAAATCTCTTTCATTCCTTTGGTAGATTAGTTCTATATGCTATTCTGTTCATGAAAATGGATTTGAATGTAGTCATAAATTTTAAAATATTGATAGTGACAAAGAACGGTATGAATATGAATCGCTATTAAGCTAGAGAAAAAAGGAGCTTGAACTTGAATCTGAATCCAGTAAATTATGCTGTTGTTCACACCCGTGGAGTGTTATTTGTGCTTTCAGAGGTATATAATTAGAAATTTCAAAATATAGTTTTGAAAACCAAGTATCTTGTCGTGTGAAGAATCAAGATTTCAGAGAATGCAAATGTTACTGTAAAATATAGAGAAAGTTTCTGATGAAACACAACTTTAAAAATGTGCTGTGGTAATATAGAAAACGTAAGAACTTGATTAAAATCAGGGAATTGTGCACATGAGTAGAATTGAAATGTTCTTCACTGTGTTGCTGATTGGAAGCATGAGGAAGTGCTAGCAAGACATCATTAAATAGTTTCAATTGCTGAAGTTACAGTTTATAGAATTATCAGATTACTCATCGGGTGTAAGTATTAAATTATGCTTGGTGAGTCATTTTTAGTCTTTTAGGCTTTATTGTAGTAGATGATAGAGTTTATGTATAACGGCAAAAGACATGTTCTGAACCAAAATCAGATGCAAATAAAAATATTCAGAATGACCGTAAAAATTCTGAATCGTCCAGAAATATCTATTAAAGTTATAGAGTTTTAACTAAAGCAGCTGCCAACAGAAATTTTTTTCAGCTAAGTAAAACGCACATCAAACTATATATGTATTTTATTTACTAAATTAGAGAAGTTATTCATATGACTTACTATTTAAGAAGCAGTAAACATGAACAGTCAAAGGAGTGAATGACTTCTTAAGTTTAGGTAATCAAAGATAGTTTTGATTGTGTTAGTTGATATTTTATAAATTTTGATTTGCACGATTCAACACGTTGTTTGCACTGATCAAATAAGCGAATTTTTTGCGTGTTTTAGCGTTTTTCGCTATTGAAATTATAATCAAATGCATGCTATCGATTCACAGAAATTCGAAATCAATGACATGCAGCATGAAAGTGAATCACTAGCGGCACTCATTTCATGTTTTTTCAACTTTTTTGTTCAAAAAAAGTGCTGATTCTCATAATTGTCTTTGTTGCTATTATTGCTTATCAAAAAATAATTACACTAATTATACGTTTCAAGGAAAGTATAATTAGCTTATGCACGTTGCTTTAGTTACAGTCTCTGAATTCTTGCTAAAAGCACCGACTATCTCAAGAAGAATAACATGTCTATTGGTTAAAGTCATCGTTATTTATACTAACAATGTATTTGTAATTGTAATAAGTGATTTATCAAACAAAATATTACAGTAATCATCTTGCTATTGCTGCTTTTCAAGTATAAGTAGGAATTACCAAATAAAAAAGATGTACAGCTTGAAATAAGCATTTTTACTTTTAATGTTATTTAATAAGTTTGTTTTGTAGCTGTACATCCATCTATGTGCCTGTGAGAGCAAAAAAAATAGAATTGACAAGCAACAAATATTATTTGTGTTTTTTTTGGCCCTTACGCGTAACTCGCAAAGGAGAGCAGCAAAAGCAAATTTGAGAAAACATTACCGAGAGCACTATCACATAATGCGTCGATTGCACCAGCACCAGATATCATGCTCCAGTATTGTCACCGCAATCAATGCTACTGCTACCACCACCACTACTGCTACCACAGTCACTACTGTTACTACAACAACACCCACTGCCGCTGTTACTTCCAACACCACTCTTACTGCCACATATCAGTTAGACAAGAAGGTAAAGCCTACCGTTATTGTATTAGTTGACATTATCTTTGAAATTATTACGTTTTCTGTATGAGATGAAGTAAGATACGAAAAATTAAATTGCTTCTATAGTTTTATTGCTACTATTCTCGATATGATGTCGAAGTATACAGTTTTTTTATTTTATCTTCTGAGTATGCGACATTCGAGTAGATATGTGGTTATGGAAATAATTAAGTAGAAGTAAATTCATTTAGCAAAAGTGTAAGTCATGCTGTTTAAATTGTGACTATTAATATTTTCAAAAATTTTAATGTCATATTTTGTTGAGTTTTGTGACCTTCAATGCACTTAATGTTAAGCCGTTTTGTAATTTGCACAGCACTCAAACTTACTTAACTTATGCATGTTAAAACGATTCGTTGATAATCTTCAAGTTCTGCCGTTCATTTTAGTTTAGTTTTGTGAATTTGAGATATATAAGTTTTTTCTTTTATATATTCCACAGATACGCTATATTATAGTAAGAAGATATTCTGCATTAAGTGTACTGCGGAATTATCCAGGTTCTTTAGATAGGACATATAAGTGGTCGGATCGCATCACTCCATATGACAGCATATTGCTTTGATGTACTGTATGCAGCGTTACGTAATCATCAAACTCCGAGAATACCTCCAGCTATTCCAAACGAAAAATAGTGAGTTTATACCTCCTGATTGCTTAATATATAATAAGACTTGGTCTATTCAAGTAAACTTGAAGTATTGATGAAATCCGAAATTTTATTAGTAAATTCAAAGTATAATATTCAAAATACATGAATAGTTTTTGCAACTCAAGCTTTGTTTTAAGTCCGTTATTTGTGACATGGAAAAAGGGTTATGATCGGCGTTTGCGTGGTTGCATTGGGACATTCACCAATCTTGTTTTACACAAGGGCCTTCATGAATATGCTATAATAAGGTTCCTTTTTTCAGTATTTAAGATTTGGAGATAATTTGTGAACACACAATTACTGTCTAAGGCTATTGTTGTACTGTCATAGAATGCATTGTATTAATATATAGAGTGCAGTGTATTTCTTTGTTTGTGGTTGAAACATTTGAGCGTCAAGTTGTATTTTCTGTGAAAATATCAAGTATAAGATTGTTAGCCTTTGACATAACTTTTCATGTATTCTTCCTCATGGTATTCGTTTTCTTTACCTTTTATCATCATTTCTTTTTAATTTATGCCAAGACTTTGCTTTTGTGCGAATTTAATATTTCTTTAGTTTTTTTTTTCCATTTTGAACTTTATCTGTCAAATGCTGTGAGAACATTTCTTTAGTTATGAAGCGGAAATTGCAAACAGAATGATAACTTTTGTTTAAGTGAATGTGATTTGGATGAACGCTTTCAGGATAGCAGTTCATGAGGTATATTTAGGTGTTTAGTTAATTATCATTTTGTGCTGATAGCTGTTAATAGTATAACGTCATTCATTTTGGAAGGCTGTTAAGTAATTAATTTTATCGATGATTCAGTATTAAAGACCTTATGAAGATGGACAAGAAAAACTAGCATAACCAGTGGTTGTTAGGTTTCGTGCATCTATCATTTTAATACATGGATGTCTTACGCAGGTGTTATTTCTGCCTATCTAAAAATTATAGGTAAATGATACCAAGAGTTACGAATCACGTTCGGTAGTTGATTTGCAATGTTTGCGCGAAATAATGCGTTACACAAGTAGTTATGGCAAGTAACTCTTCAATATTATGTTTTTTTTCTTTTGAGCATTTAATATTCTTGTTGTTCAGTGATTTAAGATTTACTCTGCATGATGCTGTTCGTAAATGTGCTCGAACACTACTAATTGAGTAACTAAATAACATTCGTTACGGTTTTCCATTTCAGTTAGAAGCGTTCCATTAATATGCGCTACTTTATTTTATTTATTTTATTACTTTCTAATAAGTTTTTGCTTTGCCTCGGTGACAAATAGTATTTGCTCCAATATTTTCCTCAATTTTTCACAAGTGGCCGCTGGAAATTCATTCTTCAGTTGAGAATGCATATATATGTATATAGTTCTAATTTGGATAAAAAGTTGGGTACGAAATTATTCATGACATGGTTTCCGGTTCGTTGTTAAATGAATGTAATTTAAGAGAAGATGATTTATAAGAGATGTTTCTACTTCAGAAGGTATGAATAATATTGGCGATCTGTCATTTTTTTTTGTTAATTTGTTTACAATATTATTTTTATTTGTTTCTACTTTCGTTTATAAGAGTAGAAGCATTTTCAGTGCCTTCAAGGACTCGCGTTTTGATCCTATCACTCTACATGAGGTTGATCAATTGCATTGTACTGTAAGCATTTTAATTAACTTCGAAAAAGCTCGAGATTATCGCGACTGGGTTGTTGGCATTCATGGAATCAGGTTCAGAGCTTCAAATTTTGTTGATTAAATATGTCTCAATTTTTTTCGAGAAGTTTTAGAAGTGATAAAATACAGACTTAAAATTTATTATGTCTATGACATTAAATGTGGTTTTATTCGCCCATGTTTAATTTTTCATACCAAATTTATAAAAAAATAATCTTCAGGATTGAGTTTCAAGACAATCATCATTATCGCGATGCTGTTTATCTTCCGGAAGTTGCAAGTGAACAAGGTATCCTTTTTTGCCTATAAAAGCTTAAACTTTTATTATGGTTGATATTAGTACCTCGGTAAATGTAGTAAATATCTCAAACATTAAATACACTGTTGACATTTGTTATGAGTATCTTATTGCATATACCATCAAAACTATACTGTAAAGAGAAAACTATTTTTCAGGATGGGATCATACAGAAACGATTAATAATTTGATGAGGAAAGGGGGTTTTCGTGGACACATCTCTGAAGAAACGCGTATGAAAGTAAACGTTGTGAGATTTCAGTCGGACAAAGTGTTAATGAGTCATCAGGTCTACTAAAATAATCTCTTATTACTGGATTTGTCTTTGTAAAATGATTTTCAGTATTGAATTTCAAAATAATTACCGTTTCTAGTTCTTACGAATATTTGCATGATTTCATGGTTTGTAATCAATGTAACGCACTCATACTCAAAGATTAGATTTCTTCCATGTTCTTACCAGACTTGATCTTATTTTAAGAGTTTTACATACAATTTTTAATGTAGAAAAGGGTTACTATTTGCTGTATTATTTTACATTACAGAGAATAATTGAGAATTAGATTTTAGAATAGCTGTGACTGATTGTAGATGGATTTAGCATTCTCTCAACATAAATGAGAAAACGCTAATGTCATTAAGATAAATATTGGTAGCATCAGCTGCTAATAACTTGGTGATTTCGCTGCAGAAGTTGTAAGATTATACTTAGTTGTTTGGATCTCGTTTACTTTACTGTAAAATTTCAGGAATATGTAGCCTATAAAGCAAATTACGGGGAAGCACTGCTGACCGATCCTGGTGGACGTAGAGGTCTTTTCCACTCTTGTAGGCCTTAGTACAATTTTTATGCAACAAGTCAAATTGAAGGCAGTTGGCTGTTTTAGCTTACATTTAAGCATATATAGTGTATCCTTTTCATCAGTGAGTGTACTATTGATTGCTCAATTACATTTAACATTTCATGAATTAGTCATTCTCATGAATTCGCGATTCTTTAAATAACGGTTTTGCATTAATCATCAAATAAGCATAAGATGTGGTAATCTTCAGTATTTTTCATTTACTTTTACTGAGAGATTGATTCGACATTCTTTATGAGTTTCATAAATTTTGCTAAGCTATCCAATTTTTTCCCTTCTGTTTCATAAGCGGGTTAGTTTTTTAATTCATCGTTCTTTCAGTTTTTTCCTGAACAAGCCTTTAAATCTTGGCACATATAATCTGCACATAATATTGTCTGTTTTCGATGTTGGTTTCCCTTTCTTTTATGTTGCATGTCATTTTACTTTTTCCAAGTTTTTTCATGTGACATAATTTTCATTTTAATAGATTGAAGCATTTAGCGAGATAAACCATTTTACTGGTAATTGGAGTTAGATATCGTGGTTGATAGAATTGCAAGTTTATAATGTATGAAAATGAAGTTAACAGCTGATTTTTGTTGGTCTGTTAGTTGGAGATTCCGATAAAGCCAAGTAATGGGAAGATTTCAGTACAACTGATTGATACAGATTTCGTAGTGCATTCTCGTGTAATTAATTAGATTGTTAAAAAATTTGTCAAGCTCAGCAGAATAAATATTGGAGCAAGGAAGTGCATGATATCTAATTTAATCTAAGTAATGGTAAAGTGTTAAATTGAATTAAGGGATGTAATCACACAATCACGAGTATTCATCACTTTGATATCAAATTACTACCTCATTTACAATTGAAATTATGCCGTATTTGAATGTTTTCGGTTATTTTTTAGATTAGAATATATATTCATTTGTGGTACTTGTTTTCGTTTTTCTTGCAATTGTTTGGGTTGGGTTCTTACTCTCAAAACATATAGATCTATTTTTGTAATTTCTCATAACTCAAATAGTGCAATTTTATGAAAATTTTTACGAAAAGAAATTCCTTTTCAGTGCTATCTATAATTTAGGTATATTAATTAATTAATTAATTTTCAGCACAAAAACTATGAAATAAGCATGACACTGAAAATAGATTATGTCCTAATTTTTCTATCTTATATTGAGACAAGCTAGGAAACGAAGAATGTTAATACTTTGATTTTTTTTCTTTGTTTTTCTAATTCCAACTATTGAAAAATGCTTCTAACTTCTATTTCTTCTACTTTCATCAATGCTCCTTCAATAGTAATTCACTTCTACTTTTTCCTACAGTTATTATTTTTAACTTTTCAGTAAGAGATAATAAGAGAGAAAATGTTTATTTCACCTGGATTCATACGCTGACCATACAATTGGAAATGTATTTAGCTAAAGAGTAAGGCGAGTAAAGAAATTACTTTTTGTAGAAAAACATTTCGTGCCTCTGTGTTATCACTTAATATTTCATATCCCAAGGCAGTGTATATGCAAGACAAACTAAATCATGAAAATTACAATTAATTCAGCATAATACATCTTTAATACACTCTATTTTCTCAATTAACGTCTTTTTCATTCATTCATCCATGGTCATGTCTAAAACTCTAGCTTTGCTTTGTTTTGGTCATAGCGTAGTTTTGATTTGTTTTTTATTATACTCACCATTTCATTTTATCACGTCATATTAATCAAGATACAGCGTCGTAAAAAACGTGTTTGTGTTATTTTTCAATGTTATCGCCATTGTTTGTGTTTCCACCTTGAGCTGAACTTACATTTTTATTTGTTATATTATTAGTACATATAATCTTGAATTAGTTATTCAGTCGAGAGAGAGAAAAAAAAAGACCATTCTCGATAAATAACATTTGCTTTTTGAATGCACAGCCATTCTTTGCTAATTGAGGGGTTTTCTAACGTAAGGAGAAAAGAATGAATATTTTTAATGCTTAACAAATTCTTGTGAAAATTGATTAAAAAGTTTCTATATAAGATAAGTATTTGAAACTATATTAGTCGAGGCAGTAGTTCGAATTAATGGGTAATTAGCAAGTCGTAAGATGTTTTGATATTGTTGTTTTAGCAAAGTACCCCGTGTTATTTTAAACAGATAGCTGCTAGCTCTATGCGTAACTGCCATACTCAATTAATTGTTTGTGCTTGCATCATTATTCAAGAAATTCCCGATAGTTTTCTTTTCTAAATGTTTATTTCGTGCAAACTAAACAGTTCACAAGGTTGACCTCTAAAGTTCAATCTTTTAGCAATTTTTTTACATATACTCAATATCGTTTCTTGGCTTTGTGTATTTTGCATTAATATATAAAATTGTGATAATGTCGTTTTTACATGAAAGGTCATTTTCTGATTGAAGTACCGTAATGTAAATTATGGATTCTACATGAGGTCAACAGTGGGAATTTTGTTGCAAATAATAATCTCTTGATCTATTGATCAAATTTAGTCATTTGAAAGATTACCCTCGAACTCTTGAGTTTTTTCATCTAACGCAATTATTCTTTTATTTCTGTGTAATCTCTACAATGGTGGAGTTGTGATTGTTTATGCAAATTACTGATTAAAAGATAAATAAACGTAATATAAATAACTGAAATGTCATATTTTTTAATATGTAAATCATGTTTGATCATGCTTTAATTTCAAGCCACCATTGTAGTACTACTAAGTCTCAATATTTCGTCTTTTTAACCTTCCAAGCATTCTCGTTTAACACTTTTGTGCTCCTTCACTATTGGTGATTTTACAGGTATATTTCTGTAACCGGTTTGCTTCATCTTACGTTTATATCCATTTATTGTCAATAAAATTTTCGATGCTTTTTCTTTTCACACATTATATGAAGCATAGTATAGTAGTACTGCACAGTGAATGAAGAATCCAACTTATATTTTCGTATTTTATTGATACTGGATAAAAGCTGGTCAATGGATTGTTTCCAATGTCCCTTATGAGAGTGTTTGACACGAATACTGATTGTGGTGATTTTTTTTGAGCTGCTCATCCCCAATTCAATTATACCATCCCATTACAGTGAAGAGGTATAACGCCATGATTCGTAGACAACTGCTGTCCATAAATTTTCTAACAACGATACTCGACAAATATTACCCACTACTTGAAATATATATATTTCATGGATAAATGAATAGTGCTCATCCTAGTATCGTGCATGATTTGGTGGTACTACTGGAGTAATTATTACTAACTACTCTTGTAATTGTCATGACTGTATTACCTCTTCAAGAATGCTGGACAGTAATGGTTTTGGTCAGTTCGTGCTAGTTTCTATTCAGTTACAGAGTAGCAAAATTATTTGTTGAGTTTTTAAAGAACTTAAAGTATGTAGTTCTCCGTAGTAGTTTACTCACTATCATTATATTATAATTATTCTCATTTCATCTTAATAATATTTATCTTGATTATTTAATAGTCACAAAATTTTACAGTGTTGACGAGATTGACATATAAGAATAATGATTGAAGGGATCATAATTGAAGGAAAGCTGGTAGTGATTTATTTATTTGGCTGGTTAGCAACAAAAAAAGATGAAAAATATGCTGGCTAATTTTTTTTTGTGTCATCAACAGAAATACCTATAATTGAGAATATTAATTTGTTTTAGGTAACGTACATCTCGAGATTGACTTATATTTGAAAATTTGATGAAGTTTCAAACGTTACTAAAGACGATTTTAATATTTATTATAATGGTTTTGAGTATCGTAAAAGTAAGTAATTCTCTTGATTACTGATAACGCATGATTAGTTAGCAAAATATAAATCAGGGCTTTGATCAGAAAAAAAAGTGTCTTTAAAACTATTCACGAATTATTGTAATCGAAAGTTTATAGGTTATAGGTCAATGTGCCGAACAACTTCAACGTTGCGCAAGTATTACAGAAGAATATGAGCGACTTATTCAGGAAAGCAAGCGTTCTGCATTTAGAAATTGCATCAATAAACAAGTGTCAGATTAAAACTGATAAATATTTCATGGTTTTGTAGCAATTATGTAATAAAATACGAAATATTTTTGTTTTCAGAATTATTATGAAGCAAATGACAGATGGCAGTGATTTTCACATTAGTGAAAAACTGAATTTTGTTTTTTGAAGCAATCATAAATTTAAATTATAGGTGTACTTATGAACTAATGTTGTTTGAAGACTGTTTTGAGCAATCAATGCGTGCTATTCGAATGTTGTCTGATCAAGATGAAACCTCGATATCTAATGACTTTGGTGATTCTGCTCGGCGATATATTAATACAGTAAATAACTGCTTTGGCTCTAGCCAAGCAACTACACGCCTGCTGAATTTACTTCCAAGCATAATTAACGGTAAGATGAGAAAAATAATGACTTAGAATTTTAGGATTTTCTAAGTGAGAGACTAGTTGATTATCGATCAGTAACATTTCTGATCAATCATTACATGCAATGATCATTATCACTGTGATGTGAAGCAAAATAATGTGATTGATTGCCGCCCTGTTCATTAAGACCCATTGATTCGTTTCTCGACCCACTGATTCATTTCTTGATAAATTAACAAAATTATCGTGCTTAATTGAAGTTTGTATATATTAAAAATCTTCAAAACCTTTAATTAAAGTTTTTGGCAAGTATTACTTAGAGCTTTCTAATTTGATTCAAAGAAACTTGTGCGTAAAGTATTTTCTCAAGCAACTATAACTTGAAAGCAAGTCATGAATTTGTTCACGTTTACATTTTAAACTTAAAAATATATCATTATTCATATTATTTGCATTTGGAAACTATTAAATGAAAAAAAAATTTTCCCAGACGTATTACCGCAGTTGCAGATGATGCCATATATGATCGAACTATTTATAGTATCGAATATGCAGATCATCTCTGGGGATTACCTCAGCTTATACCTACGGATCCACTTCTTGATAAATCAGCAACATTATCGTGCTTAGTTAAAGTTTGTGTAAATTCAAAATCTTCAAAAAACGTAATCTGGAAATAGCTAAAAATCACAATATTCCGTTTACAAATAGATCAAAAAATCAATCTCACGTTCATAATCACTTCATTTTTATCGTAGAAGTAGAAATTAAATAACAAACGAAAATTCCTGTCATCTTCATTATCTTTTGCTGATTAAGACTTATGTGATAATGTTTTGTAGGAAAGAACCGGGAGAATATTTGGTAATGGTATTAATAGATTTGTCGATTCTGCTGACTTGAAACTGTATGATATTTGTGTACAAGTTCTCTAGTTTCTAATAAACTATTGAATAAAAATTATTTCATTCTTTGACTTTCAGAAATAATTTGAATAATTCATGTATTCTGGAGGAAAAAGAAATGCATTGTTACCGTAGTCATCTCAGTAATAATCATTTTTATCAGGAATTATTAATCGATAGAGATCGAATCATCAGATCATGTATTCGCAGGTATAGAGATTTTAAAATTTGACTTGAACTGGATTTATTCAGTCATTTGATAGCGATCTTTCCCATACAAATTTCAATACATTTTAACTAAAAATTAAAAGATGATTTTGACTTGATCAGTTGAATGTGAATGACTGATCTATTAACCACCTGAAACATGTCTATAAAGAAATGAATTACTTCAGTGTTCGTTTACAAACTCAGTGCCACGTAATTGATGCATCTCGGTTACGTGCATGCCTATGCAGTGCTCGAGAAGAATTTGAAAATCGCATTCAAGCTTCCATCCTGCATTGTGTTAAACGCAGTCATAAACTTCATTTACGTGAACAACAAGCAAACATGTATCGGGATATTTCTAGTCCAAATGCTGAACAATATTGTAAGTTCCTTTTAATTCTTTGCGACGATTTTTTTTTTTTTTTT